TGACCATTCATATCGACGAGATGTTTTATTTTATTAATGGACTTTCCACATTCCGCATTCCACTGTTTGTAAAAAACTGGTTTATTTCCTATCAGGATGTTCCTGTTATTCCAAATTATTTGCTCTTTGACACTTGCTTTGTCAGTTGGTACTTTTTGGTCTATAATTATACTCCATGTTTTTAAGATTTCTTGATAAAAGGTTGAAACATTTGATAAGTCTAATGATTTATAATCATAATTTGATTCAAATATGATGTTGGTTCCAAAATTAGCAAACATTATGTTGGGTATGGTTTTCCACAGCCCTGCCTCTTTGTTGGTCAGTCTTTTTACCCATGCTGCTTTTAGGGCTTGATCCATGAGCTTGAATTCAACCATTTTTAGCCCTCCATCACAAATATTTCCAATTAAAGTTTTCTTTTTGATTTTAGGAGGTTTATTCCTCCAAATAAATTTTTGAATAACATCATCAATTTCCTTAATATATTTCTCTGGAATCACTGAAGTTGCTGAAATGTAAGTAAGCTGGGATATACCAATAGATTTGACTAAAAGAATTCTGCCTTTTATACTTAGATCTCTTCCATTCCATGTATTAAGTTTTGACTTCATCACTTGTATTTTATCTAAAATGTTATTTTTGATGTGAATTTGTTCATTATATGTAAAACAATATCCAAGGGCTTTAGCTTGTTTAACTGTTTTTAAGTCATTGATACTATCATTTTTGTTTTTTGCATTTCCTATCCACATCAGCTCAGATTTATTTTTGTTCAATTTAAGGCCAGAACAAACTTCGAATTTTTCTAAGATTTTCATTATTTCTGTAACAGATTCTTCATTCTTAAGTATAACTGTAACATCATCGGCGTACTGACATGCCTTTATTTCCTGATCTTGAATTGTAACACCCTGAACATTTGTATTTCGTTTCACTGCAAGGCAGAGAATCTCAATGACCATTATAAAAAGTAATCCTGACAGGGGGTCGCCTTGTCTTACTCCTCTGTGAACTCTAAAAAAGCTAGAGGACTCACCATTATTAATGACACAACTGTTTGAATTTTTATATATACTTTGAAAAAAATTAATGAAAATATTGCTAAATCCAAAGGCTTCCAATGTTTTTTCAATAAAATTCCATTCGACAGAATCGAAAGCTTTTTGAAAGTCTAAAAATAATAGAAGACCTTTTTGATTATTGTTATTTGTGTAATCCATAATGTCTTTGATGAGCCTGACATTTGTCCCAATAAATCTATTCATTACGTATCCTGTTTGTTCCGGGCTGATAATCTTTGGAAGTATTCCTCTTAATCTCTGTGCTAAAATTTTTGTTAACAGTTTATAATCACAATTGAGTAGTGTTATGGGCCTCCAGTTTGCTAAATTATAACGATCTTTTGACTTTTTTGGAATTAAACTTATAATACCTCTTTTCTGACTAGAACTTAATTCTCCTTGTACTAAAGCATGATTAAATGTGTTAACAATATCATTTTTAAGTTCATCCCAAAATTGTAAATAAAACTCTGATGGAAGACTATCTGTCCCTGGGGATTTTCCTTTCTTAAAAGATTTCAACATTTTATAACACTCCTCAAGACTTATTTTCTTTTCACATTCTAGTTTGTCAACATTGTTAATTTTTGGTATATCTTCTTGATTTAGAAACTCATTTGTAACACGTTTGATCATATTTTCATCTTTATCTATGTACGATGATGTATAAAGATTTTGATAAAATTCTTTTTGGGCTGTTAATATATCTCTTGGATCTGTAATTTCATTCCCATTAGCCATTCTCAACTTTGTTATTACTTTATTAACAGAATTAGATTTTTCCAGGTGAAAAAAGTATTTCGATGATTTTTCCCCTTCTTCATACCACCTTGCTCTACTCCGTATTATACTTCCTTTTGTTTTGTGCTCTTGAATCATTTCTAATTTTAGTTTCAATCTGTTCAAATTGTTAATATTTTCCTGGGATGATAATCTGTCAACTTCAATTTGTGCTAAATCAGCATGCTTAAGTAGTCTCTTTTCTTCATCTTTTCTTTCTTTTGCTCTTTTCTTAGAAAATTTTATGCTTGCTTTTCTTATTTCCATTTTCAAAAAATCCCATATAACTCTAGTGTCATCCTTTTCATTGAACATTTTCCTTGTTTCTTCTATTTGTTTTTTGATGCATTCTTGGTATTCTTTATCCTGTAGTAAGCTTGTGTTTAGTTTCCAAAATCCTGGTCCTTGTTTTCTGTAATCTTTTGTTTGTAGCGTAAGAGTTGTTGCTAGGTGGTCTGGAGAAGGTGCAGTAAGTATGTCTGCTTCGGTGACATCATCAAGAAAATTAGAGACAAAAAAATAGTCCAGGCGACATTGTATTTTATAAGAAGGGTTATGCCAAGTGAATCTCTCTTGTGTTGGGTGCTGTCTTCTCCATATGTCTACCAGGCTGTTGTTGACTAATATATTGTTTATTTCTTCAATGACCAGTGCTTTTTCCTCTATGCTTCTGCCACCTTTAAACTTGGCAAGATGCTATTTCAACATGTAACATGGTAGCATGTCACATGCTAACTTGGTCCACATGCTGCACATGCGAGATGTATAGTTTAAACTTGGCAAGATGCTATTTGAACATGCAACATGGCAGCATGTCACTTGCTAACTTGGTCCACATGCTGCACATGCGAGATGTATAGTTTAAACTTGGCAAGATGCTATTTGAACATGCAACATGGCAGCATGTCACTTGCTAACTTGGTCCACATGCTGCACATGCGAGATGTATAGTTTAAACTTGGCAAGATGCTATTTGAACATGCAACATGGCAGCATGTCACTTGCTAACTTGGTCCACATGCTGCACATGCGAGATGTATAGTTTAAACTTGGCAAGATGCTATTTGAACATGCAACATGGCAGCATGTCACTTGCTAACTTGGTCCACATGCTGCACATGCGAGATGTATAGTTTAAACTTGGCAAGATGCTATTTGAACATGCAACATGGTACCATGTCACTTGTTTACTTGGTCCACATGCTGCACATGCGAGGTTTATCATTAAGACTTCGAAAATTTTGAATATGGGACATGGCAGCATGTGACTTGTAACTTGGTCCACATGCTGGGCAACGTGTATACTTCGTACATGGCAAGATGCTAATTGTACTTGGTGCACATGGCATGTAGTACCCCGGTGGCCTTAGCTGCATGTTTTATACTCAGAGTAATACATGCTGTTGTTCTCAACTTTTTTTTATGTCTGATGGGTTTTTTCAACTGTTCATTGTTTTTAAATTGGCCAGACCAACCCATTCCACCTGATGATCTCATAGACATATAGTCACATAAAGATTGCAACGGATGCTTTGACAGAAGTAGACGTTGAAAGATCTATGAATGAGGATTTTGATGCAAATGATATAAAAGAAGACTAAGTGAGATCAGCTCATAATTTACTATGTCCCTACGCATAATGTGACAGCCGCATTCTGCATAGTTTTATTATCATAAGCAAATACAATATATCAAATGGCCCAGATGAAATATCCATTGATTAAATATTATCAGACATACTCAAAATAGGTTTTTAAAAATGTTTTCATGCTACTTCCTCCCAATTTGATGAAGATTTTCAATGTCTTAAAATTTTACGAAATGTGTACGTTTTTAACAAATAGATTTCATTTGACCCACATTGATGAAACTTGTCATCATGGTAGGACATGATAAGTAGTAGATTGTCTGTAAATATCATAATGATTGTTTTGATATTTAAGGAATTATAAATGGCTTTCATAGTACTCCCTAATGTGTACTTTTTAACAAATGATTTATGTTACCATAGCAACCATTTGCCCCGCATTTATGAACTTTGTCATAGTGGAAGAACATGGTGAGTAGATAACTACCTGCCAATAACAAGATGATTGGTTAGATATTCTAGGAATTATATATGGCTTTCATAGTACCTCCCTTAATGTGTACTTTTGAAAAAATGATTTATGTTTCCATAGCAACCAATTGATACGCATTGATGAAAATTGTCATGGTTGTAAGGCATGATATGTAGACGATTACCTGTAAATATCAAGATGATTGGCTGTATATTCTAGGAATTATAGATGGCTTTCATTGTACTCCCATTAAAAATCATACCAAGGGGTATAAATCTGCATAGTGTAGTAACCAGTAAACCAACACTGATGAAACTTTCCATGATAGTCAAACATAATGATGTGAATAAGATCTGTAAATAACAGGACAATTGGTTATTTATTTTCTTCAAAAATTTGGACACAAGTTAAGAATTCTTTGGAAAAGTGCCACGTCCGCTTTCTAAATTAATTTGCATTGCCATATAATCATGAGCAATAGATTTCACTGTGTGGATAGGATAAAACAGCACTTGATTTAATATTATCAAACATACTCTGAATAAGTTTTCTAAAATGGTGTTTCTTTCCAATTTCATTAAAATAATATGTGTTTTGTCTCATGGGGTGTCTTACATTTTGACGAAATTGTGTACTTTTTGACATATGATCTCCGTTTCCATAGCAACCAGTTGACTAACTTTGATGAAACTTATTACTTTTGTAGGACATGATAAGTACATGATTACCTGTAAATATCAAAATGATTGGTTGTAAATTCTAGGAATTTTACATGGCCTTCCTAGTACTCCCCTCAAAATCAAACAAGGGGGTATAAATCTGAATATTTCCAAAACGCTGAAAAACTAGACACCAGTATTTTCAGAATCAATGTAGAATCATAAACCACAAATTACCTACATAAAGAGAAATTTGCTATTTTTCAAAACCACTTTTACACCACGCTCAACCAGTAATAATGCACGAAGGCGATGACTGCCACACATATGAAGGGGTGTAAATAGAAGTTAAATGTTTTATTACTTATAGTTCTCGAGAAATCAGCTAGCTCCATTTCTAGATACAAGCATAAGGGACTGTTGATTTTAAGTCTGGGTCAGCTCTCACGATGATAGTTGAAGTATTTAAATTTAAGTTCGGGGCAAAGCTAGCTATGATGCAGAAAATGTTTTCTCATGGCAGATTTATCTCACAAATGAATTGCTTTTTATGAAAACACTGGTCATCATTCCACCGGAAAGATATCCCAGCATGAATTTCCAAGCAATCCTCAGTACCACTTCCATTATCAGGCTGGTTGGGATTCCAGTTTGAATACACATCGATCTCTTCTGTGTCAAAACATGGTCCTCCAGCCCACAGCCATCTACCTGCCATATCATGACCACCTTTAAATGAGACATATATAAGAAATGGCAAATTAGACGGTTGACAAAAAATACAGGTCTATCTGATTTTCCATGCTGAAATGGTGAGGAATTTTAAAAGCTATCCCAAGAACGTGGTTAACAAGAAATGTTCTGAGAATGAAAGTATTTGTAAATTTGGATTTTTTTTCAATTTAACAAATATACCTCAAGATCATTATACTCTATTTTATTGTCAAATATTGTAGAACAACCAACAGCAAAGGGAAAATTAACTGTGAAATACGTATTGAAAGAAGAAGATTGGGATTTCTATTATGGACATTATCATACCATTTTAACAAATTCTAAACACAAATTCTAAATACAATCGCCTATGTGCGAATTAAACGGTTGATTTGCAGCTTAAGTTATATCTTACCTGTCCAAAACGACAATCCACCTTTGCCATCAGAATGAATCTTTCCTACGATGTAAATTTGTTCAGCTTCTGTTTCTATGGCAACAAGATGGGCTCCAAAGCTTAAACAAAGTGTCTTTGCTTCAAACCACGTGGCTGCTCCACCAGGTGTATATACGAATAAATAACAGGAGTTTTGGTTCCGGCTAAACCTAGAGGGGCATTGTGTAGAACATGCACTGCCTGTTGGTCCTGTGGGTCCGACAGGTCCAGGTCTTCCTGTAGGTCCTGTATTCCCTGTAGGTCCAGCAGGTCCGGGTACTCCTGGAGGTCCCGGTGGCCCGATAGGCCCAGTTCTTCCTTTAAATCCCCTTGGTCCCCTTGGTCCTCTTGGTCCCTAGAATTTCAGCTGCTTTAAATATCTATTCTTTGATTGGATTTGATCAATTAAACGAAAGATTCTTGCATACCCTAAACTACGATGAAAACAAAACCATGTTATTTTACTGGGATGCACGTTACCTTTTTGCCAACACAAATGCTTTCGCATTGGCCCAGAATTTCAGATTTCAAGCTCTCAATGTCACTACAGCAGTTTGTTGTCGTTGCAGTCAAACTCAGAGTCAGATGTAGCAGAGTTAGCATGACAGCTACGCCAAATATTATGAATTCAGCTTTACGCCACATCTGAAATAAACCGCGAATTTATATTAATCTTATGTCAAATATCCCTGATTATCTTTGTATTGTAATGATTGTACCTTGTACATTTTAAAAACGTTTTCACCTCTTACCTTTTTGCATTTATAGCTAAATTATAGGTTCAATTAATTACGCAGTAGCGAGTTAGATGCGTGCCTAGATGGGCGTCAGTTTAGTCAGAATGGAAAACACACAATAATCATGTGTTAGAAATATAACAGGTAACGATATATACAGGGTGTTTAAAAATCACTAGATCTTATCACTTACTCTCTATATCAAACTTGATATTGACCACAGATACACCATCATTTTTATCAAATTTCTATGCAAATATAGTCAGAGCTAAAAAGACTTGAAAACAGTGGTAAACTCAGAACTCTCTATAATCCACCACATGAGTGATGTGTTGTGTTCAGTAAAGTAAGTTCTGATTTGGGCAATTTAATAAAAAAAAGTATTGAAAAAATTCAAAATAAATAATTCTGAATATGATTATAACATTGAAAAATCAATTAATTTAGTTATCAGTATATGGCATGTTCCAAATTGAATAATTGATGATTGAACATTTGTGTCATCTTCTATTTTAAAAGGCAAATAATTCACCTTTTTACGTATACGTTTTATCAAAGCTTCGATAGCTCAAGAAAATAAGGTTTACGTCTAAGTCATTTGATTGTTTAACAAATCATTTTTATTATATCCAAAAACATAAAAACATAACAGTTAAGCGAGGCCCAATGCCATTCATACGCATGCTTTTTCGAAAACTCTGCAGACCAAGCTTCAATATCTGAATATGTAAGACCAAGTCAATGGAGTGTTTAAGCTTACATTTAAAATCGAAACGCCAACCTATACGTATGACCAATCGCCCATACAAATACATTGCTTAAATATTTTCCGTTCACGTTTAGGTTGTGAAAAACATTGCAAGCTTAAACTATCCTAATGAGTAAAACGCTCGGGAAAACACAGTATACAACTGTGCACAGCGTTGTTGGTTCTGGGTAAGAAAGAATTCTTATTACCACTTTGCCGGGCCTGTTTTAGGGGTATTAGTACTAGTTTATCAGGCTTATATTTTACTATATTGACGTATAAGCAGTATGTGACGATATAGTGGCTATTTCAACCCGCTAATGTTCCCGGGAAATGAGATATCGTCTAGTGCGGAAAAATTTCGTTCAGTGGCACTCCGTTTTTGCAATATGGCAATAAAGAAAGTGAACATTCTCCCACAAAGTGTGCTTTTATTGGAATGTGTTCTTGAATAATTGCCCACAATGCAATACTCTAGGAGCACATCTTGATACCTCCTATCCTTATTGGCCTTTTTTGTTTACTTTTACATGAGAACATATTTTATGCTTCAATCATATTGAAAATTGATTTTTATTCAAAATAATACTAAAACATATATATTTATCATACTTTTTGAAACATTACCATAAAAAGGGAAGCATGGCATTGCTCATTTTGAGGGTCTCATGTTTATAACACGGAGTTGCATACCCTTCTAATTGAGGCCCATGCTTTCATTCTCAGAACATTTCTTGTTAACCGCGTTCTTGGGATAGCTTTTAAAATTCCAAAAAATAAATAAATCAACCATCCAATTTGTATTGAGGTTTTTAGTATATTAATTGTGACAAAATTGCGTTAATATGATAATTTCCTATATTTTGTGTAACTCTGTAAACAACAATATCAATATATAAGGTTAAGGAGCTCCAGTGAGCTTAATGAATAGAATTCTAAGAATTGTTTACGTCTAAAACTAGTCGACCGATTCGCTCATCATTTCATCTTTTAAGATTAAGTCACATTCAATGTGTAAAAGTTCAAAAACATTATTTCGTTCTCCGATATCCCCTGTTCATACCGTCATTTCGGGGTTTTCGGAAAAGACCGACCCCACCGACCACCGACCGGTCGGTGTTTTCCACTGGTAGCCTCAAAACAGGGTTTGAAGAAAATGTGTAAAAGACCGACCATATCATGTAAAAGACCGAACATATTTGTAGCCTTAGAATATTAATAATTTGATTTTGAATGTCAATCGTTGGACTAGGCAACGTTTTTTACCGATTTTGTACCTTGCAACGAATGGCAAGCAAACAAATTGGTCATGACCGTCTCCTCTCGATTAATTGCCCTGCCTTAGGTCCTAACCTATCATTAACCAACCTATCGTTTCTACGGGAATCTATCCTAATTTTGTACTGAAATTGAACAATTTCGAAACAAAAATGATTTGTTATCGTCATAGCCTACTGAATACTGAACACGATATAATGTTACATGCGTTCTCTTATCGGGATTAAAAGTGACTTACCATTTCAGTACACCATTAAAAAGCTTTTTTTTGTCATATCAAATGTAGTTTTTACCAGTTGACGTTTAACAACTGAGAAATCAAACATAACGTTACGACGTCAACATCGACGATGTTTGTGTGTTTTTGTTATTGCGTTTCATATGAATGAAGAATGAACTTAATGCAATGTTACGTGCGTTTTTTTCCAAAGTGACTAACCAGGATGAAATTGGTCTTCTAACAACTGAAACATCACTTAAAAATATGACAAAACACACCACGACGATGTAACGTTTTCATCGTGATTTGAAATGATAATTATACGTTTTTAAATCACGACCTAGTAAAGGTACTATAGTCATTGGATTCCCAGTTTTAGTTTTACTTCTAATTTTGCATTTTTTCATCTTTATGTAAAAGACCGTCAGACCGGCGGTCGGTGTTTTACGAAAACCCGTCATTTCGATAGCATAGTCTTCAATGTCTTCTTTAGATAGTCATGGAGTTTTCAGTTTTAACGCTACACATTTAACCGACTTGCACAAACTCATTTTCTGAATGCTGCATTATATTCTTCGTTTTTTCTTCAACATGTACATGGTATTATAAAGACATGTAAGAATAAAAATAAATTGGGTTTCTTCACCTCGAACTTTGATATAAACAAACATTGATGGCGATACGGATCTGTTTTGCCTATAAAATATCTCTAAACGCAAATATGCTTTCTAGATATATCAATCTATTTATACGAACTTGTTATTAAGTGGCATTAAATTTTACAGATTTTGGTACATTTTCTTTGAAATCAAAGATGCGTCAATCATTGTACGAGAAACTGGCAAAGAAGGAAAAACAACAGGTTGCAGAGATATATGTCACGAGGGGGGGGGGTGTATAGAGATATTGTATATCGTATAAGAGGCTGAAAATTTATTGTATATTGTATAAGAGGGGGCAAAATTTATCGTATATGGTATAAGAGGTGTAAAAAATATGGTATATGGTATTTTAGAAAATATGATATATGGTATCTAGAATTAAAGAAGGCTAATTATGAAGAAATTGTACCCTAAAGTTCCCCCATTGTGCCATCTCTCTTACTGTAACCGTGTTGGAAAAACATGGAAAAGTAGTCTCTATAATTGTTTTCAAATTCCAGGTCAATCGATACTGTTAGTTTAGAGAAAATCCCTCTCAAACTAAGAGTTTTGTGCCCTTTTCATTCAAATTTTCACAGGAGGTGTTAAATACAGTCTCAAATAAGAATCACACCCGGTGATCAGAAGAAATGAACGGAGGGGGAGTAGATCTAGCTGATTTTCGGTAGAAAATTCAACAAATCTTGAAGATTTATTTTTTCAAGAGAAAGTTTACTATTGAATGGCTAAATGAATAGACGCAGTGGACGGGGGAATATGTTAGGTCTTTTTGGATTTTTTTTAACTGTGGAGTTCTAAAATAAAAGATCTATTAAAAAAGTGCAGCGTTGCCAACATGCAAATGCCAATGTTTTTGCTATAAATCAACCAACAGGGGTCTCCACGACCTGTAATAAATACTTGTAGGTGAAGTAATTATCACAAAACTATTGGGTTTTGTAAAACATGTTACCATACGTTATATAAAAAGTAATCGAAAATTATTAAAATTGAATGGAGGGGGGGGAGTAATTTGTCTATAAGACATATGAAAACTTCCAATAAATCCATATGTCCCCATTTTTCACTTTTCAGAGTTGTAACATCAAGTAACTGAGTAAGTGAGTTCATTTTTCGAGTACACGAATTTGTGGAAATTTCTTCCACCTTAAAGACATTTTACTCCCCCCCCCCTCCGTTCACTCCCCACCCCTCCGTTCAATTTTAATTATTTTCGATTATTTTTTATCTATCATTTGGAAAATTATTTTAAAAAACCGGCAATGAATTTTGTGATATAAAAATGTCGCTTATATATTTATTACATGTCGTGCAGAGCATTGTTGCTTGATTTATAGCAAAAACATTGGCATTTGCACGTTGGCGACGCTGCGCCTTTTTTAATAGACCTTTTATCTTAGAACTCCATCAGTTCAAAAAAAATCCAAGAAGACCTAACATATTTCCCTGTGCACTGCACCTATTCATGTAGCCATTCAATTGTAAACTTTTGCTTGAAAAAATAAATCTTCAACATTTGTTGAATTTACCGAAAATCAGCTACTCCCCCTCCATTCATTTCATCAGATCACCGGGCGTGAGACTGCCAAATGTCATTGACCATCTTAACTTTGATGAAAAATATGGTCACTATGGCTACTCGTGTTTCGGGGTATGTGGGATAAATCATTAAAATATTTGAGTATAAAGTGTTCATACAGCGCATGTTTTAATACAAGCATCACAATGCTAATATAGCATAATATAGCAAAAGGTGTTTATTTGGTCTTCAAACCGTCATGTGTTGGATTTCGGCTATTTATTGGGGATTTGAACAGGTGCATATGTTAGGCCAATGCATTAACTCCAGATCAAGCAGAGGTAATAAAATAATTTCAACTTTGAGACAGGGAAGGTTTTTCTGAAATGTTGTCCTTATTTTCAGCCCTTTCCACATATGTTTTTTCAATGTTTGATGCACCAATATGTTGCACTTTGAGACACAGTTAACCTCTAAAATATGATTTATTTGGGATAAAGTGGAAAACAGTACATGTATTTCCCATGTTATTTTCCCATAGGGAAAACTCATGTGATCCATTGTTTTCAGCTTAATTTTGGTCATCCAAAATTGATATCTTTAAAACCCCTGCATGAATCATATTTTCATTTAAAGATCTTAACCATGTCTCAAAACGCAACAGAGTGATCGATGCAACAAACATTGAAAAACAGGTGTGGAAAGGGCTGGAAATCAGGACAACATTACAGAAAAACATGTTGATGGGGTGTTTGCACCTTCCCTGTCTTAAAGTCCAAATTATTTTATAATCTCTATGACTGCATGTCCTGGAGTTAATGCATTGGCCTAACATATGCACCTGTTCAAATCCTCAGAAAATAGCCAAAATCCAATATATGACTGAAATCTGTTGCGATACCGTCTGTGGTCCTTTAAAAGAAAGTTATTTCTAGTTACATAGAGTAGTTTTCATTCTCATCAATACATCTTTGCCTTGAAATCATTTGTGAAACATGTGGTTTGACCTTCGTGGAAATTTGCTTAATTTTGACACACCTTTGTTTAACTTATACTGTCTATGAGGCTGCCTTATCTGAAACCCTGAAGTGTCTCATGTTTCAAATGTTTAAACAATCAAGTCTCATCTTGCCTTTATTTCAAACTCTAGTTTCCAGACTCGAGTCCAATCAAAAATGAATTATCTACATGGAAGTTTGTGAAGTCCTTTATTTCTGAAACTGTTTTAAATACTTAATATTTTCCAGGTAACTGCTTTACAAAATTATTGTGCATTGTGAATCTTCATTATATATCTATCTGATAAATATTTTCCTCAGCAAACTTTATTTTCATAGAACACATGATGAATCTTTTATTCAACATTCTCAATTTTGCATCAATTATGTTTCAAGAATTTTTATCCCTGGCTCACTATGAAGGACATTTAAATAAGTCATGGGAAAGTAGGTCATAAGAAAGAGGAGCACTGGGTTCCACCCATTCCAATGATGCAGGTTTTGTGCTAATTTTGAATATCTTTATGGTACTTTTACAGGTAATGGGCTAATGGCTTTAGCAAATTGCAGCAATGTCATAGTTAGATTTTTTGGTCAAAGTAGGTTGCTAAATCACTAAAGAGAAATCATGAATCTTATATCATAAATGTGTTTTAAATCAACTTGTTTACCTGAAAATAAAATATGGTCACAGCTTTTCTGATGCTGATGTACCCGAATGGTGTCATATTCATAATGAAATAAATTAAATCATTGTGGTATGTATGTGTAGTCTAGTTGCCTTATAATAATACATTTACTTTAGTACATGGATTCTCTCCTAATATAATATTATTTCCTTATAAATATCCAAACTTTAATCAAAAGCAGTTTCAAAATTATCGTATATTGTATTTCACCTAAAATATCGTATATGGTATAAGAGCTGTGAAAAATATTGTATATGGTGAAAAAATATTGTATATGGTATAAGAGAGCTGAAAAATATTGTATATGCATTTCCAAGACCCTCTATACACCCCCCCCCTCACGATATAAAACGATATGTTGACCTGATGGTTGCAGAGGTCCCGGCAGAGGTCAACTTAATTTAGATATACTTATGTTAATCTATTTTCCTGGAACGGAATAATATCCAGGAATTATATCCGTTCCACAGTTACTTACTTCGATGTATTCGAAATGAAAAGTATATAGTACCCATATGCAGAGGTAAACAGATTATCGAATACGGTATTTCTACAGATTCATTGATTGTCGTAAAACAGACGGACGCAGGTACTGCTACCGAAAGTGAATACGAATGTCGTAAATAGTCATCCAAACAATTTCATAACGAGGCCAGTGTAAACTAACGATTGATTATTTTAAAATTTATTAAAATATATCTTGGATAGGCAGTTTCTATATCACTAAATGAATTGAAAGGTAGGAAGATACATTGGTTTTACCATCAGGCATTATATTCAGCCATTTTTCATGGCGTACAGATAAGAATATTTGGTGCACAGTCAGAGAGAATGTTTCTGGCGAAAATTCTGGGATTTCAAACACTTTGAAGTTGGGAAACCGGAAGGGCTTACCTTTTTCAATTCCCGAATCTCACCGAATCTCTCCGAAATTAGCTCATCTTGGTGACTGTAAATTGCACAGCTGTATTCAATGGAGTCTTGTCATATTCGATCAGCCTCAATTTTAAAGTGTATATTTTATTTTCAACGTGATTTCATCGTTTTTTGTCGACTGGTAAGAAAACGCCGGGCAAATGGCAAGATGGATCACATCATCAATATTACCAAGATGGCGGTTTCAAAATTTTCTAAAATCGCTTCAAATAATATTATGTTAATTCCTAGCGATTAAAGATATCTCTTAGTTTGCTATTTCACAATAAGATAACGAAATGTGTAAGGAATTCGTATTTATCAATTAAAACATCACATCGACATTTGGTATTCGTAAACTAGACGATGAAGATAACGACCTCGAAAAAAAACAAAAGAGCAAGTACAGGATTCGAACCCGGGCCTCTAGCGTGCTAAGCGAGGATTCTCCCCCTAGACCACCGTTATTTTACATGTGATATTGGGAATTAAACGCTACTTATTTTGAATGCTATGATTCGGAAGTGACGTCACGTTCTTCACGTTTTGTTTGAGAGCGAGAACGAGACGTGCCAGAAGCCCGGCTTTTTTGTCAGTCGACCTGTTCAAAGTACATTTAGTAATAATTATCGCTTTTCAGAACAATTTAGGAAACAATATTTTCTATCTACGTCGATTACAAAGCATCTAAGGTACGTAAATTTATATGAACAACTGAGTCAATTGGGATAAATAGCCCAACGAGAGTCGGCGGTCTTGAAAAATACTTGGATCTGATGCCAGTCCTGTTATTGATATAGTTCCAGGGAGTTCGAAGAACGTATTAGATGTCCGTGATTTGGTGTTTGGTTTGAACAAACTTTCCGGCATTTATGAAACAAATACATATTTACAGTTGGGGACATAAATAAATGACAGGTGGATTTGCTGAAGTGAGGATTTCCCATGTTAAAAATAAGAGAATTTACAAGAGGCCATACATCAGTGGATGAGATTATACAAAATGTAAAATATACAAATTTTAAGGGATATATATCTAGACAATATTGGAAATTATGGGCTTTCAGACCACCATAATTAGGAAATGGTGATCGAAAATCGACCTGTCATTTATTTTTGTCCCCAACTGTAACAACCACCTAGCATCCTCAATCAGATGGTGTTGTCGAGTGATACTAGACATAGAGGCATATGAAATATGGTGTTTTAGAAATATTAAGAACAAGATTGAATAAGGTTCAGCTGGAAAGTAACATTTTGGTAAAAAATTGCTATACATGTTATTTTCTGGTACCAAATTACGTATGAAGGCATGTGTATATCCTTGAAACCTGGAAAAATGTCAATGGTAGCTCCTAGCTGTCTAGAGACTTTGAAAGAAAATTTGTAAAAATAGAAGGTGTGAAATATCAGAATTTCCTGGAGTTCCCATTGACCTCTTACCAGATATATGCTACCAAGGGCCGTTACAAATGCATCTATAATTCATCATAAACTAAGATTTAATAAACTAAGATCTTTAAAATTGAACCTTTCAAAGACTGTATCATGTCCCACGTACATGGGTATGAGGTAGGAGGTTTTTTATACAAAGCCATCCAACTCTGAAAAATTATGTTCTCCACAGGATCTTTTTCTCAAGTGGGTGAAAATTCTCATTTTCACATTTCATACCCAAATTAGTCAAAATATGCCTATTTTTCATGATTCTTCTCATTTTCAAGAAGTTGCTATAACAATGATCATAGTTGTTTTGTTCAGGTTGCAAGCCGTAACAGAATGCTTAATAATTGATGAATTTCATCTCTGACATGTTCAAGAATCTTAATTAGAAATCTGTGTTGATAAATAATTGATTGGTTTGAATACCAATGAATATAATTGGTAAGTTTCAGACTTTTGGTCTATAGTGATTATATATTAGGTTTTTAACAACATGTGATGAGCATGATTTTCTAACTGCATTGTTTCATACATTAGTATGCAACACATTAATTGGTTAAATTACTGTTTTCATTTACTTTCAGAGTTACAGGGTGCTTGGATGTCAAAATCATCATGGATGAATTAAACAAAAAGTGAAAGTTTTATACTTAATATCAAACTGGGTTAATCTGCTGAATGAGACAAAATGCATCGTTATACACAACATTTTGGATATAAAGACTTCATCCATTTATCAGTGGTCCTCCTGCTACAAGTTACATATGGAATATCACAAGAGAGGCGGACATTTCCACCATTATTCAATGCAGGGGAGATAAAACCAGTATCCACTGTGCCATCACAGAGTACATGTGGGATCCCAGTTAGAAGCGCACATTGTAAAAGTTCAACTTTCATGACATCAATCAGCGAATGTCGCCAAGAACTTTGTGAACAAAACTGTCCACAGAGGACTACTTTACCGAGCCATTTTGATTTTTTACTTGCATTGAACTATGGGCCGTGTGTCATAACTGATACAGTCAATGTTCGCCCTGGAAGTACGGGTCAATATTCAGCCGTGTTTAGTGCAGGGGACCAGTGTTATTTGTCCCCCCTCACTGAGCCTAGCTTGGGTGCTAATGGGGCCTTTACTGTTGCCTTCTGGATATGGCAGGAACCAGAAAATATAGGGTGAGTTATGTATTTGAATTCTGAATTTTTGAACATTGCATAATATAAATAAAATTCATCATGTCACTCAGGAACACATACCTGAATATTTCTGATGTTACAATTTTTTGATAAAAAGTTGTTTTTGTTTTTTCAAATTCTATTTTGATGAAGTATTGAATTTACAATTAAAAAATCTTCAAAAACTGCTTTTTGAAATCAAAAAGAGTTTCACAAATAACATTTTGATAATATTTCAATGGATTATGTACAGTAAACATGTTCAACCATGGAATCATTAATCAGTGTGCAAATATGAAGATTTTAATGTCAGTTGGACTCTAATTCTAAAACCCATATTCTGACTAAAAATGTTGAAAACTGTTGATCAAGACATTTCATTTTAATGATGAGCGTCAAGAGAGATTTTTGAATTTGTTTTTCAAATTCTCCACTAGACAGCTCAAAGAGAAAACTACATTTCACTTAAATTTAGAAATGCCAAACTATGATCATTTTACATCACAATTCCTCATATGTTTTTGTTGATAATTGGGTGTGACTATGTTAACTAAAAATGTAATTTACAGCTTCAAGAAAATCAATGAGAATCCTTGTAACAGATGCAATATGCTTCCATTCATATTAACCGCATTGTGATTCACCTGGAATTGTTTATTGATTTTATAGCATTTAGATTCTATTATAGAGTACAGTGTAATATGGTTTAATCTCATGAAGACTTCTTTTTTATTTATACATCATTAATCAGTTCATTATTGTTTTCAATATTATCAATAACAGTTCTCACAACCTGGGTACAGGTTTTGCCAATCAGACAAAATTACTCTTTTTACACATGAAAAAAATCGACATTATCAAAATAGCTTTTTTTATAATCTGTTTTATTTTGATTATTTCTAGGAAACAATATATATACAGGCCGTCCAACTGTCCCACAATTTGAGTATTTGTCACACATTTGCTGGAAAATTTGAAGTCACGTCAATTTTTTTTGCGTGACAGAATACGTATTTTACCTGATTATTGTTAAGCAAACATCTCTCTGTAGAAAAACTTTGAAAAAATGATTAACGATACAACAAAAAAACGAACAGCGAAAAAAAGACTGTACCTACCCCCTCCCCCCCTATTCCATCCTCCCATTAAATGACCTCTATTTATCTACATCCCCAACTTCTTAAAGCCCCTGTATAAAGTTAGTCTGACCCCCATTGTTATCAAAGTGCGATGTGTGAAACTTTTTTCTAATTTCAATTAATGTTTTTTTAAAGGACTTTTTGTTCGAAAAATCATGAATTTATTTAAAACCAACTTTTAAAGGTCACACATATCTTTTAATTAGCAATAATTAGCATCAATACATAGCATTTATCCTCACATGTTTTTCTGTCGAAAAATTAGTTCATAAATAAGCAAGAAATGAATTCATCCATGCGTGAAAATGGTTTAGAGAAAAATGCATTTCAAAATTTTAGTTCTCATAGAAACAAATGGTGCAATAATATTTAAAACATAATTAAATATATTCATCCTTTGACCTGGCTAGACAATCATTGCTTTATTTTTGAAGTTTAGCTATTTAGAGAAGATTGACATGGAAATTTGAATATTTGAAAATGAAAAGCTGACATCTTCTTTTTCAAAAATTTTCTGTTTTCAAAAATCTCTAAAATAACTTTTAAAATCACAAATAGTAAATGGATTATAAAAACATATTTTCGAACTTTACATGGGGACTTTAATAATTACAGAACTGTAATGGAGAAGGCAAGTGAAGGGGGTGCTTCCATTGTCAGGATCAGAGTGAGCACTTCTAAGTTAATGTTAACACTGCGCACCAGTGTTGGTGGCTCAGAGGTGCACAATCTTGACAGTATACCTCCACGCACATGGATGCATGTTGCTATTCAGGTAAGACATATTCCTATAATGAGTAGTGAATTTGAATTTTTATGAAACTGATGTCTGAGCTACAAGTTAAACTTGTAAGTGCACATGCTCTAAATTATTAATAAAATCATATTTTGATTAATGGCAGAATCTGTAATAGCATATCTATTTGTAAAGGGTGTGTCTCCTCTTTATCTTAAGTAACCTTAAAATATATCAAATCAAAATGATATGCAATGTACAGTGTGTTCTCTGTAGTAACTACATGTACTTGTATTAACAACTGAGCAAGTCCCTCTGTTATTAAAGGCAGAATCAGATCTATAGGGGGTGACAAAATTACAAGCAACATTCATAATTGACCTTCCAATCTATTCCTTACAATATCAAATACAATATCTCCAGGCCTGTCAACTGTCCCGCAATTTGCGTATTTGTCACGCATTTGCTGAAGAATTTGAAGTCACGCCAGTTTTTTTTGCGTGACACAAAATGTCACGCAAATACGCATTTTACCTGGTAATTGTCACGCAAATATGTTTCTGTAAAAATTTTTTCAAAATATGTTTATGATACGGTAAAAATAGGAACGTCGGAAAAAAACGAACGCAATTTGTTCGGATTTGTCACGCGAATCCCGTATATGTCACGCATGTTCATTGGAAATTTTCGTACCTATAGGTGAAAAATGTTTAAATTCTCCCAAATAATAAGAATGGTAACCATTCTAATAGAAAAATAATACATTACTGTAAAATCTTTCTTTTTCCTTGAATAAAGTATGCACTTTTGTGATTTTTAGAAAATAGACATGACAAGGAATGACATGAGCCAAAAATATTCAAAAATTGAAACAATTTTTGGTTTAGCCTGCTCGCTATCTCTGATTCTCACTTTAATGGCAATTTTGTCATTTAATAGAATCTTAAACAAAGAGCATTCATGGTATCTGGGAGCCTGTGGAGAAAACACTTGTGTTTTGTGTCATAATAACAACTCAGTATTGTTATATTCCAGGTATATGCTACACACCTGAGTTTCTACCTGAATGGGCTTGGTGTGGGTTACAGCGCCCGCAACACAGCTGTTCTACCTGGCCAGGTTCAAGATGGGCCTGGAATAACCAGATTAGGGCAGAGGGTCAATGGTCAAGACCAGTATGAAGGAAGATTGCAAGATTTCAGATTCTATGATGAAACACTCACAAATAGGTAATTGTGAACGTGTGAATAAATAATCAAAGATCCAATTCCCAAAACATTTTTTGAAAAAAAATTCTACTACTTCCCTGAAGCCAAAAGGTATAATTTCAATGGAATAAAGCATACACATTAATTCATAAAATCAAAGTGGAGATTTTTATGTCATAATTTATATCCTATTTTTAAATGCACCATTCATATTTCATAGGGAAATTGAGGCAGTGTACAGTGGTAATTTCCCAGATGTGCACATCCAGTCTAATTGCCGATGCCCCTCGTCACATCCTCGTATCAAACCCTTACATGATAGATACTGCATCCGCAATGGTGTGCCAGATAATACAGGAGATGAGGTACTTCAAATATTTCTTTTTAAAGATAATTACATCATGCAATATTATTTTATCTTGATCAAAAGGATTTTGATATAGATTTCAGTATATGGAAACACTTAGACAGTTTTAACCGAACAACTTGTAACAAAAAGAAACAAGGCATTAACTTGCAAAATTTCACCACCTGCCATTTGTTACAGACCTGACCAACAAATATCAACTGCCAAATACCGACCATCAAACATAAAAATCAACAATCCAGGTATTTCAAAATGTAACATATTCTTTTAATTCACTTTTAGTCGCTAAGATTGAATGATGACGCTCACCCACTGGAGTACTTGAATGATGGAGATAGTAACAGCATCTGGGTGTCGGCAATTCTAGATGATACAACCATCACAATAGACCTCTTGGATCAGTATCAGGTATGCTCCCATTTAAATGATTTTGCTTCTTAAAAGAAAGCTTCATGTACACTCTTTGAGTAGAAGATAATCAATTGATTTAGCCTTACCCAATCAGGGTATAATAGATTGAAATCTAGCAACCCAATTGAAATAGCAGTCAACCAATTTCATTCTTTCATAACTATCTGAAAGTAATAATGAAACCCCCTTTAAGAACCTTTCTCCTGTTCTTACTTGGTTCTGACACTTAGGGTACACTGGTACATGCCATGTGTGTTTATAATCTTTTATCGTAAACTAAAAAAGTGTTGTTTAAGTTCAAGTGTCATATGTCAATGCAATTTAAGAAGTTAGATAAAAAGAATGTCACAATTACAAAAGACATAATCACATATACCAATTTTCTTTTTGGTACTCATGTTATCATTTACATTCTTTTCAGGTATTTTACGTCGTGCTACAGTTCTACAGTCCCCAGCCTAAGATTGTTACGATAGAACGGCGTCGCACAAACACTTCAGAATGGGAAACATGGCAACTTTATGCCGAAGACTGTCAGCTTGCATTTGGTCAACCTAATAATGGGCCTCTAGAAACCCCCACTTCTACAAACTGCATCCAGTTTCCAACGTAAGTATTGAAAACCTTTAGTTTTTATATTAATTTCATTTACATGGAAATGTTTTCTAATCAATTATTTTATGTTTTGCATATTTATTTGTTCATTAAAATATTGTCAGAGGTAGAAACTATGTCTGTAAAATAGCTGAGGGGAGTAATCTTATAGTTATATATATGTTAGATGCAGTAGTTACATATTGTTATAGTCTCTATCGTTTTCTGGATGGTGTTTGGTGGTTGGCATTCGGTGTTCGTTTGGTGGTATTGGTTGTTTGGGATCTGTAACAATTTAATTATTAATAGTGACAATTTGCATGTTAATGCCTCGTCAATATATTTGATTTTTCCTTCATTTTATGATCATTTAGAAACCCAGCTGTGCCTTCCTCCAAGGGGAACATTACACTGAATCTCCTGGCCCCAGAACCTGTACCACGTCCAGGCTACAATGATTTTTACAATACGCCAGAATTGTTTGATTTTGTGAGGGCAGCTCAAGTCAGAGTGAGGCTCCAAGATCATTATTACGTCACTAATACACGTCATCGATACTTTGGACTCTATGAGTTCATTGTGACCGCAAGGTACTTTAGACAATTGTTTTTAAAAATTTTTAATTATTCTCAACAAGGTAAACTTAAAGATTAGAATTACTGACACTGCACTCTTAAGTTATGCTGTATATAATCATATGACTGTATAATCATTGTTTTGATTTTTGTTATAGATGTAATTGCCATGGACACGCAGAAACCTGTGATACAACTCAGCCGACATACAAGTGTAATTGTCTCCCATCTAGTAACACAGAAGGAAACCAGGTATATTAATACTTGCAATCATAATATTTGCCCATGGTCCAATATTTGACAAAATTTTATTATTTCAAATTCAGATTTATTAATCATTTATAAAAGTATAAGAAAAAATTTAAGAAATGATTCGACAATATTTGAATATTTATCATGCTGGACATCTTTTCTATCTTGTAGCTCCCGAGTATCAATGATTGAATTTATTTTTTATTTTGAATTTTATTTACAGTGTGACACCTGTAAGGCATTATACAATGATAAACCTTTCTATGTTGGTGACCCATTCAATACATATGACTGCAAGGCCTGCCAGTGCTATAACCATGCTACAAGCTGCGTTTATGATGTTAATGTTGACCCCTTTCCCGATGAATACAACAGGGGAGGGGGAGGAGTTTGTGTGGACTGTCAGCATAACACACAGGGCAGAAGGTATTAAGATTAGGACAATTCATTCTGTATTAATCCTTTAAGTATTCCCTATTCCATAACATGTATGAATTCTACTTAAGCCTAGATACTTCATATAGGAGAACTTGATTAAATACTATTCTATCAGTTATGACACATAATTAAAACATTTACTTTTTATTAATATTCCCCTATTAAAGGCTCTAGTATGGATATCCAAAGGTTGTTTGAATTGACATCATGATATTTTGGGGTCACAAATTTAAGCCAGTACTTGTATTGACAAAAAAACAAAAGCAACCAACTATTCAGTGACTTTTTGTCATTTCATTACACAATAATGTATATGTTGCAATTTCCGAAATGAATAATATAGCTACATTCTTCCAAACCATATTTTCAATAAAATGCGCAAATGTGAATGTATATGTGTATTAATTATTTATATTTCCAGATGTGACAGTTGTATAACAAACTACTTCAGAGAAACTGACAAGAGTCTGTTTGCGGAGGATGTATGCACAGCATGTGATTGTTTCACAGATGGAGTGGCTGCTAATATCACGGACTGTGAGAAAGTATGTGACACAAATGAATAAACAAAATTTCTGAATTTCTCGCAGAAAAAGATAATGTAAATAAAATGAAATGAAAGCAAGTCATATCAGTTCCAAATAATGAAAACATTTCTGCTTGTATCATATGTTATCTTTCAAAAATTGTATTTTGACATAATCACATTGACTGCAATAAAGATTTTAAAGTTCACTTGTTCTTATTGCACCCTTGGGTACTATATTGTGATCACTTTGCCAGGCAGCGGGTGTGCGTCCCTTGTTATGTATTTCTATAACAGTATAGGATGTCAAAAAGTGAACTCATAAATTGTGTTTTTGTCAGGTTGGAGGTCAGTGTTCATGCAAAGCTAATGTCGGAGGTAGAACATGCGACTCCTGTAAAGACGGCTTTTACAACTTAGAAGGGAGTAATCTCGATGGATGCAACAGCTGTAATTGCGAGACATCAGGCACTGTCAATGGTGACGTAAAATGTCATCAAACTACTGCCCAGTGTAACTGTAAACCTAATGTCAGAGGTCAGTAGGCTTTTGATTTATCAATGCAGTATCTCAAAAAATTAAATATCATTGATTTGTATTTACTCCCCTAGTTTTTGGAATGATATCCTAAAATAATCAGTTTCACCATCATTGAACATTAAATATGAAATTCATCATTATTGAAAATGAAATGTATTCTTTAATACATTCTTATTGTAGTGGATCTTAGAGAGAGATGTATGAGAAACTAGCGTTTTTTATTTATCTGGTTTTCTATTCTAGGTTTACATTGTGATGCCTGCAATTATGGGTACTTCCATTTAAATGCTAGTGACCCCCTAGGGTGTTCCCCCTGTCAATGCAACCCCCAGGGGTCTACTTCACAATTTTGTAACCCTGATGATGGCCAGTGTCTGTGTAAAGAGAACGTCATTGGGGTTCAGTGTGACCAGTGTGTTGATGGATTCTGGGACTTTGATAATGGCTGTCAGCCATGTGGATGTAATGAAGATGGAACAGTTGAGGGGACAACATGTGAGAAATCAACAGGACAGTGTATCTGTAAGTATTCTGTTATAATTATCAATACATTTTATATAGATGTTCATCGGTTAAGTGATGTTTCCCTGATGAAGATATAATACAGTAGATATATCAAAAAAAAATTATCTCATACAATTTTTTAATGTTATAGTGTGCATTCGTTTTATATCCAAACTGACGGTACCGTCAGCTGAAATAATGATTACTCAATTAACACATAGTTATTCAGATTAAAACTTAAATTTTGTATAAGGAAAATGTGAAGAGGTTTTCAAATGTTTATAAAGTAATTTGGGACTTTATTTGTTTTCTTTTTATTTTTTGATTACTCTGCAAGTTATTCAATGATTTATATGAAATACAGAAAATATTGCACCAAAGAAAATCTGTATTACACCTGTAAAAATACAGGATATAGTTACATAATATAGGCCAGTTTCATCATCATTAAATATTACTCACTCTTTTTCCAATTTCCATTTACATATTTTCTACATCCAGGTAAAGAAAATGCCATGGGCCTAAAATGTGATGAATGTCGCGATACGTTTTACGATTTGGGGTCCGATCCAGCCCGGGGATGTCTCCCATGTAATTGTGACGTTGCAGGCTCTGTCAATGGATCAAGTTTCTGTAATAAGATCAATGGAACCTGCGAGTGTAAACGATTTGTAACAGGTATGACAGAGCTTTAATATTTCTTTCTCTATATGAGCGGTAGATGAAAAGAGGAGAAAATACCCCCAGAATTCAAAGATGAACATCTAGAAGTTCATCTTTTTTTATAGAGATAGGTTGATCTATGAATTCTGGGAATTTCTCCCCTTTCATTGCTGAATTAGTAATATTCATACTTCTATTATTTGTTCATCTTATTTATTATCTCACAACCACCAATAAGATGTGACACATTGTTATTGCCACTTGACTGTGACTTGCAGCATTGGTGACTTGAATTAGCATTCATCAAGAGCATGGGAAAGAATTGTCACATTTTTCTTTGTGGTGAATCATTTCACATCTTGTTCATTAGTAACCTTCATTCAATGGACACTGAATATCTGGTACAGAACAAGTTATAAACTAGTTTCCTAGCTCATCTGTGTATTAAAATTATCACTTTTTTAAAAGGTATAGTAAATTTTGATGTAAATGTAATTTTAATATATTTCTTTGATACTCCCAAGATTATTTATTCATTGCAATGTTGCATATTTCTAGTTAACTAGAAATTATTTGGTTCCAGGATTAACATGTAATCAATGTGTGTCGAATACATGGAATCTGACTGAAGCGAATGAAGATGGATGTATACCATGTGGATGTGACCCTACAGGTACAGAAGAGGGGGCCACTATAGATCCTAGTGACCTCGTATGTAACCAGAATACTGGCCAATGTGCATGTTTATCTTCTCGGATTGGACGAACGTGTAATGACTGTTCAAGAGGTATGATTTTGTTGATTATTTTCATGATTAAATTGAATTGCAGGCTGCAGGCTTCCGATATCCAGAATTTCTTCTCTTTCGAGGAACAAGTTCCGGGCCCTGTGTTCCAAAAATAAATAAAATGCTTATCTGTAAAATTGTAGTTCAAATGAATAACATTCATGAATTTGGTGAAAATTATCTCAATGCATGTTTCAAAAATATCATATGAAACTTTTTTGTCAATTACACTACATTTTTGGTCCTATATCACCACAACAGGAAACCCTTATGATCCCAAGACTAAGAGTGAGTATACCCAAATAAAAAATCTAAAGGTCCATGTGCAGTATGGCAAGTGATTTTAGACAGTCATATCTTTCACAATGAGTACTTTCTGGGCATAAATACAGTCAATATGTTTTGTGTCAAGTAAAGTACCCACGATGATAAAAATATCAATTGAACATTTCAAAAAATGATGAATAGGAACCCCATGTCAACAATTATTTAAAAATGTTGAACCTATTTACTCAAAAGAGGATTTCCCTTTTCTGATTTTTGTTGCATGAAAAGATTATTCAAAAAGGGGTCTAAAACTTCTTTAAAAGTAGAATGGTATTGAAAGTCTAGTTTTGAAGATATTAATTTTCGATGACCAAAATTATGCTGAAACCAATGGATAGCATGAGTTTTCCTTATGGGAAAATAACATGGGATATGTGGTTTTTAACTTAACGCATTTCAATACCAATCCCCTTTCAGAAGTTGTTAATATAGTGTAGAAGAAACTTTCGATATGGTTAAATCGAGAAAAACAAGATCCTCTTTTTAGAAAATAAGCCTAACCTTTTTTCAGTGCCCAGATGGGGTCCTTAACAATAATTTTTCAGAGTTGGATTGATATTTTACTATCACGGGAACTTCACTTCAAAGAAAACATATTGTTTTTATAAAAACCACCGTATTTATGGCCAGAAAGTACTCATGGTGAAAGATATGACCATCTAAAATCACTTGCCATACTGCACATGAACCTTTGCACTACAGCTTTGAATGATTTTTGTCACATCTTATTTGCTTTATTCTGCTTCATTCAAATATTACTATTTTTGGCGAAAGGCGTCTGCAAAGGCGCAGCAAATGCAATGAACGAAGAAAAATAATCGGATTAGCTAATTAAGCAAATCAATCTAATTTAGTTAATTAGGCAAATTTAATTTGCCTATAATAGCATATTCCTTAAAATAAGATGGTAATATGCCATTTAAATGGTAAATTCTTAACATACTTACATAAATTGCTGGTCAGTTGTTATTTCATCCTTAACCTGACAAGGTGATAGGGGCTGGGTAGGTGGGTTTTTGCAATGCTGCTCGACTGTTTGCTGGCTCTAACTGAAGTTCTAACATAATTCTGATGCCTTCATCACAAATTACCTATATACCTACATATTAGCTTCTAATTGGTATACTGCAAGTACATTCAAGCATGAATAAAACTCTGCATATTGTAAGCTTAATTAACTAAAGGTCAGCATCGGGTACTGCACTATGAGAGATAAGTAAAACTAAAGGACCTGTCCAATTTTATATGCCATTATAAGCAAAACAAGCTTAAGGTGCCATGATACTTAACAGGAAATGACGAAACAGGAAGTGACAAAAAATTTTGCATTTTTAGACATTTTTTGAACAAAGATAACAGAGTTCTGTTTTGACCTCCAGTCAATTTAACTATTTCCACATACCATTAACATGACCAGGTTCACAATGTGCATGGTCAGAATGACCCTAAACATGATGAAAGTTAATGTAGTTTGCAGTTTTAGCCAAAATCACATGAGATTAGCTTCAAATTTTGATAAATAGAAGAGACTAGTCGGTGCATGAGGATTAAATTGCAAGATTTTATTTAGAGATTTCAAAATAAATAAGCTGCATGCTATGAATTTTTTTTAGATGTAAGTGATTTGATAAAAAAAAATGTTCAAAGCAATGTGCTACTAGAGTTGCCAATTTTTTAGTTCCATCTCATCATTAACATCAACAACTTGCACCACATTTCCAGACTTTGGTCACATGACACATATAATTTCATTTTAGGCTATTATGTGAACAATATCCCAGGAGGCGGTTGCTTTCCTTGTGGCTGCTCCAAAAGTGGAACTGTTCGTTTCACTGCATGTGACTCACAAACGGGCCAATGTTCCTGTAGGGAGGGAAACAGTGGAGTTGCAGGACGTGCATGTGATTCCTGTAAACCAACATACAACAAGTTCAGTCCTGGTGCCGGGACGTAAGTATTTATATCTTTTTTTACTGATTATTGTATTGTATTTGCCTTATTGTATTATATTTGCCTTATTGCAAAATGTGATAAGAATACGAGTTTGCATGAGGGTCTTTGTAAAAATATGATATAAGTCACATTACTTGATTGTTATATTTTTGTAAAGACCTATTTTTAATACCTTTTATTGAATTGATGAATTGAATTGTTTTCAGGAGTTCCCCATGTAAATACCTTTTACTGAATTGATGAATTGAATTGTTTTCAGGTGTTCCGTATGTGAATACCTTTTCCTGAATTGATGAATTGAATTGTTTTCAGGTGTTCCGTATGCGAATACCTTTCACTGAATTGATGAATTGAATTGTTTTCAGGTGTTCCCCATGCAAATACCTTTTACTGAATTGAATTGTTTTCAGGTGTTCCGTATGCGAATACCTTTTCCTGAATTGATGAATTGAATTGTTTTCAGGTGTTCTGTATGCGAATACCTTTCACTGAATTGATGAATTGAATTGTTTTCAGGTGTTCCCCATGCAAATACCTTTTACTGAATTGAATTGTTTTCAGGTGTTCCGTATGCGAATACCTTTCACTGAATTGATGAATTGAATTGTTTTCAGGTGTTCCCCATGCGAATACCTTTTACTGAATTGAATTGTTTTCAGGTGTTCCGTATGCGAATACCTTTCACTGAATTGATGAATTGAATTGTTTTCAGGTGTTCCCCATGCAAATACCTTTTACTGAATTGAATTGTTTTCAGGTGTTCCCCATGTGAATACCTTTCACTGAATTGATGAATTGAATTGTTATAAGGTGTTCCCCATGCGAATACCTTTCACTGAATTGATGAATTGAATTGTTTTCAAGTGTTCCCCATGTGAATACCTTTCACTGAATTGATGAATTGAATTGTTTTCAGGTGTTCCGTATGCGAATACCTTTCACTGAATTGATGAATTGAATTGTTTTCAGGTGTTCCCCATGTGAATACCTTTCACTGAATTGATGAATTGAATTGTTTTCAGGTGTTCCCCATGTGAATACCTTTCACTGAATTGATGAATTGAATTGTTTTCAGGTGTTCCCCATGCGAATACCTTTTACTGAATTGAATTGTTTTCAGGTGTTCTGTATGCGAATACCTTTCACTGAATTGATGAATTGAATTGTTTTCAGGTGTTCCCCATGCGAATACCTTTTACTGAATTGAATTGTTTTCAGGTGTTCCCCATGTGAATACCTTTCACTGAATTGATGAATTGAATTGTTATAAGGTGTTCCTCATGCGAATACCTTTCACTGAATTGATAAATTGAATTGTTTTCAAGTGTTCCCCATGCGAATACCTTTCACTGAATTGATGAATTGAATTGTTTTCAGGTGTTCCGTATGTGAATACCTTTCACTGAATTGATGAATTGAATTGTTTTCAGGTGTTCCCCATGTGAATACCTTTCACTGAATTGATGAATTGAATTGTTTTCAGGTGTTCCGTATGCGAATACCTTTCACTGAATTGATGAATTGAATTGTTTTCAGGTGTTCCCCATGTGAAAATCTTTTACTGAATTGATGAATTGAATTGTTTTCAAGTGTTCCCCATGCGAATACCTTTTACTGAATTGAGGAATTGAATTGTTTTCAGGTGTTCCCCATGTGAGTGTTCTCCCTCTGGTAGCACCAATGACACGTGTCACTTCCAAACAGGACAGTGTAATTGTAAAGAATTTGTCACTGGCCAAAAATGTGATGAATGTGTCCCTGAGTCCAGTAATCTAGATGCTGAGAATCCACAAGGGTGCAGCAAAAGTGAGTTCAAAAATGTTTTTATCAACTAAGATCATACTGGCTCTGGTGAAACAAGAATATTCAAATGATCACATGATTTTTTGGAATCTTAAATCTCAGACAGGCTTGTCAACTGCCACACATTTGCTGAAGAAATTGAAGTAACGCCAGTTTTTTGCATGACAGGTCAGATGATGTCACACAAATATGCATTATTTTTGATTATTGTTAAGCAAAAATATTTCCGGAGAAGAACAAGGGCCAAAAACAAGGGCCAAACATAAAAAAATTAACAGCGAAAAAACCAACGCAATTTGTTTGGAATTTTCATGTAAATTGCGTATATGTCACACATGCTTGCTTGGCACTTTTTCGTCCCTATCCCCCTAAGGAAACAGTATTACCAATTTGGCTCAATTTTGTTTGATATATTCATAGTCCCCAACTACCAGCACATTCACATTCAATATGTAGATTGTTTGAAGATTAATATATTTTTTGTAGCTCCTTCCCAACAACCACCGCCTACAAGTGTAGCTAAAGGACCACGTCATCTTAGCTTAAAATGGATGCCGCCAGATTATCCCAATGGGCCCATTCTTATGTACAAACTATACAGAAATGGAAGGATGATTGTCAGTCAAGACCCTAACGGTAAACTGCTGTTACTGTCTCTCAATTAAACCATGTGTCTCATTTGCTCAATGCGTCTTATTCGCTCAATGTGTCTCATTCATTCAATGTGTCTCATTTCCTTGATGTGTCTGTTTTGGAAGCTGAAATATAACCTAGTGTAAAAGAATTTACCAGTAAACCAGAAAACAATGGAGCAGCCTTAAGTTAATAAACATGCAATCTCATTAATTATTTAAACCGTCTTACATGAGAATATATCATTAAGACTTGCCCTATTCTTAATTAGTATTAATTAATGATGATGCCTCACTATATAGCCTTCATAGAATACCCAATACATGGAAAAGGTACAATTTATTCTTAACTCAGTGGAAACAAAAGAATAATTATCTCAGCTTCTTAAAGAATATTTAATCTTACTTACCAAATTATTTAGATTAATTATTTTCTTCAAAGATTACTCTATAAGATTAAAGACTGGAATTCTCTGTTAAGGCACTATTACACAGTTGTGTACAAGTATTACTGTCAAAGAAATGAATAACAGTGCAATTGATCGTCATAGTAACAATTTAATAAATAAAAGTCAATCAGAGAATCAATATTTCAAATGAATCGTTCATTAAGATTTCTTTCACTTTAACAATGTTAAACTATTTCACTTTAACAATATTTTTTGATTTTTAAAAGAAATCCAAAATGATCTTGAGGAAGTAAAGTATTTAATAAATTCTCAGTCACTAAATGCAGTGAAGTGATATACAATTAATTTAGCATTTCTACAATTTAAATATTGTCTGTTCAGTTATCTTGTTATCTTGTATCATACAATTACAAAAATTCAATGAACAGTTTTGAATTATAACAGAGAAATCTCACCAGTTTTTAACAAAGGCCAAAAAAGAATTAGTTGCAATGGCCTCAGTTTAATTAAAAACACCCTGCTAAACAGACAATGTTTGTAGTGTCCTAGTCCTGGTTTGTTTCCACTGGCTTCAGAATCTCATCTTTTATTTAAACATTTGGGGAGAAGGCTGATTTCCCAGGTGATTTCGTTTATTTTCATTCTTCATGTTTTCATGTTGGAATGTATATTCTCAATCATACAATGTACGAGTACTCTTCAACATTTCAGATTTTTTATCAGATGATGAATTGAATTAATACAAAGAAAATAAAAGTGGTAGTGAAATCTTGAGACAGATTTACAAACCCGGTTCTAAATTCCTCATATTCCAAATTTATTTTTTGATATCAAATAGGAGAGTTATTTCAAAATAATGAGCATTCAGAGTTTAATGTCACAGATGTATCAGTAAGAAAGAATCTGGGAATTCACTATGATTTTTAGGGCTCTCTAAGGGGTATGAGGGTAATGTGAGCTGACCTCAGAAAATGTGACTTTAGTGTATTTGAAAAAAAAGTGACAACCAAAAGCGTTCAAGTAACAATTTTGAGCATTGATCTGATTTACAAAGGATTGGTATCGATATGGTGAACCTTTTGAACACACGTTTCTCTTAAACCAGTCATTACAAAATGCTGAAAGATTACACATCATCAATTCAATGGTCATCTTTTGAATGGTGACAATATAATTTAAAAAATAAATATATATTTTTCTCTATATTTTTTTAGAAAACACACCAGACACTTCTTTTGTTCTTGGTATCATATGTTCCAAATGAAATGAAACATCTATCCGAACCTCATTGGAACAAAATGACATAAACACAACATGGTTAGGTCTCTCAAAATTGTAATTGTACAAAGGAAAGTTTGGTTGGTTTCAAAAAAGTATCTTGTTAATGAAATAAGAGGTTTATCTTAATTTCTATCTATTTTGGGGGTTATTGTTTTAATTTTTTGAATACCTTTGTTTTAAATCAACCAAAATTTTCTTTGTATATATCTATAATATTGTGAGGTCTAAGAAAATGTTGTATATGCTATTTTGTTCCAACAAGGTTCGGAAAGATATTTTATTTCATTCTCAAGAATTGGTAGAAAGGAACAAAAAAAATTGCACTATAAAACAAAACAAAAAATATATAAATAATTTTAGCATTAAATTGTTGTCAATCAGTCAACATTACATAAAGGACCGTGTTTTTACTGAATGTTTTCAATAATTGGTTTAAGAGAAAAACAATGTTGAATTCAATTCACCATATCGATACCAATCCTTTCTGATTTGCAAGAGTTTTGAAAATGACAGAAATGACAGTTTGTTCCACATGTTTTGTGATTTATTCTAACCAATGATTAAACTGAGTAACAATTGAACACAGTTTTAATAGACGATTTATTGCATTAAATGCTTTGACTGACTGAAAATGAATGAATCTGACAAAATTTGAGTTATATTTGTGACAGATTGCATCTTTGGAATTTTGAAAGTTTCTAAAGTTATCTCAAATAAATTTAAAACAATTATTTCATTTGTTGAAGAGTATACATTTATGATCTAGATATACACAGCAATATGCATAACTGCTGGAAAAAGCTAAGCCAAAAAAAACTGCCAGAGTAAGTAATAAAACAGAATCTGGCAAAATGCATATTAATCTCATATTTCTTAAAGCCACGCCCACATAGCCCCACAATGGCTCAATAGCTCTTATAGCTTCCCTATATCTGACTGTTCATTCCGTGTATTTTAGACAACAGAGGTAAAATGGTTGATGTATTAATGCTTCTAGCTTTTTATTATTAGGTATTGTAAGGCACCTTCTGTGACCCACATGCTTTATATCATCAAATGTTGTATCACTCACATTTGCTTTAAAAAATTCACAAGGTTTTACAATTGAGATGTACTAGGGAAACACCCTGATCGTACTTTTGGATGTATCATTATCGCATTTTGAAAAAGTGCTATGTTGCCGTCGTCATTTGCTGTAAAAATTCACAAGATTTTACAATATTGAGATGGTGAAACACTCTGGCCATACTTTTGTATGTATCATTATCGCATTTTGAAAAAGTGCTATATTTCCGTCGCCATTTGCTGTAAAAATTCACAAGGTTTTACAATATTGAGATGGTGAAACACTCTGGCCATACTTTTGTATGTATCATTATCGCATTTTGAAAAAGTGCTATATTGCCGTCGTCATTTGCTGTAAAAATTCACAAGGTTTTACAATATTGAGATGGTGAAACACTCTGGCCGTACTTTTGGATGTATCATTATCGCATTTTGAAAAAGTGGTATATTGTCGTCGTCTTGTGTTGGTGGCCAGGCGGATGTGTGGGCGGGTACCACATGAATCAAATCTTGTATTTACATATCAGCAACTTAGAAAATGTTCATATTGATGTTATATTGTTTAAATGGCTTGGTTCTCTAGTGAGAAACAGTTTGAATATGTCAGATGTCACATTTCACATAGAATAGTCTGGAAACTAATTTACTTTTTGAACCATACTTCAGACTTAGAATGGGGCAAACACTGTCAAATAATATTCATATGATATATTGTTAAAAGCAAAATAATATATGTGACTTAGAAACAGCATGCTTGAGCTTTGTGTAATCACTTTTGAAAATTCCACGAAGACAAAAATGTAACATAGAATCTAATAGCATGGCATGTTCACCTTGTGTTTTATAAAAAAAAAATCATTTATCTACTTAGAAATTCATGAATATGATAAATATTTTTGTATTGTTTTGTATAAATATAGTAATTACAAGTATATGAATCCTTTGATGTTCTAACTTGAGTACCCTTTGTAATTAAAGAAAATATACACAAATGTCAACTTTATTAAATGAATTATTTCTAGAAATGTTGTATGGTTGCAAATGAGGGTGAATGCCCCTACACTGAGATTTGTATGAAATTATCTCTTTTTATCCATCACACACATATGTTAGGTATATATATATATAATATGTATAAAAAAGTGCTATATTGTGCGTGAATTTGGACACTGTGCAGATGCTACATAAATCTTGTCATCAAAATTCAAAGAAACTGCTTATCCAATCAAATTGCGATTTTTACTGATGCAAGGGCAGACAAGTGCCAATATCTGATCAGGTTTTGAGCATGTTGGGTCAATTACATGACAGCTATTTTGCTCTTCAATGTGCAATATTTATCACTGTTTTTGTTTTAGATTGAACTGAACCATTTTCTGATTTGAAATTGTTATTTCAGTTCTACAGTATGAAGATACGGGGCTTGAACCAAACACTGATTATACCTACGTGATTGCGGCAAGTAACATCCATGGAAGTGTGAGGAGTCCTCCTGTGACATTCCGCACCCCTCCAGCAGCACCCACAGGAGACCTCGGTTTAAAGGCTACAAACATTGGAGCCAAAACGGCATCATTTGAATGGCATGCTCCTCCAGGCTCAAATGGAGCAATCACTTCATATAAGCTCTACTCTTATAACCCTTTCCAATCATATATCCCATATTTTCATTTTAATACAACCAATGGTGATGTTACCAGCGCAGTCCTGAATGATTTGACTGCATACACAAATTACACGTTCATCCTTCGTGCAAGCACTAATGGTGGAAGTCTCGACAGTGAACCAGTGATTGTGATGACACATGAAGCAATTCCCGAAGACCAGAGAGAGCCAAATATCACCCCAGTGTCCTCATCTTCTCTATTTGTACAATGGGACCACCCTACACGTCCAAATGGAATTATAATTTTCTACGAGTTATGGCTCCGAGGTTTGCTTCAACCAAATGGTGAACGTGACCCCGAGACGATTCGTGTTTTCCACGCTGCTGGTCAATACAATCCTAACCCTGGAAAGGACCCTGAGGAAAATGCCCTGGCAGAGCCTGCAACTAACTTCACAATACATGGACTAGAGCCATATACACAATACGAGCTCCAAGTCCTTTGTGAGAATAGCGTGGGAAAAGCTGCAAGTCTCTGGGTTGGTGCAACTACACTTGAAGAATGTAGGTTCCCTTTTCAGTAATACAAGGGTTGATCCAAAAGTTGGTATGGTAACCAGACACCTATGTTGCTAGTCAGATTTATTGTTTATTTTTACACAAAATGAAACTACTATATATGGGGTGGTTGTGGCCAAATATGAACAATATTCATAAAATTTTAAGATTTTTAGAGCAAACGGATAGGAACTTTTTGATCAACCCTCATATAAATATATGTCAAGTATGACTCGTCCAATTCACTGCATTAATATAAGGTATATGGTCAGCTGTGCAGAGTAATAATTTCACAGTGCATAAAAGTTTCATAATGCACTGAGCAGTGACATTACTGGTGATGTGGAGTGATATCATCACAGTGCATTATGGTTTCATAAAGAATTGGACCATGTCCTTTTTATAAAGGGGTGATAGTATATTTGAATTGGATTTTTTCATAATGTCTTATGTAATTTTTTCAGTACCCCTTTCCACACCAACTCCTACAGTTGTAGCCTACACATCATCACAGTTTAATATTTCCTGGCTCCCACCAATCAGAACAGAGGCTCGAGGTGTCATTTTAGAGTACCGCATCTATGTAGAGCGTCAGACAGACACATTGGCTAATCCATTTGCTCCTCCTATATACCACGAGGTAGATACTAAATGAGCTTAATCACTAAATTTTACAATGATTTTTACAAGTGTTGACACAAATTGTAAAATCTTGATTTTCAAGTAATAGAGTCCTTCCATTGACACACAGAGTATCATATACATGTACTATCTAGTATTCTCAAACATTTTCTTTATCAATTGTGCTTAAATTGCCCTTATATACTCACAAAACCATTATAAAATGTTCCAGGTTATCTACACTGGAAATTCGACATCATATATAGCTGATGGATTTAAGCCATACTCAAGTCACACCTTCCACGTTGGGGCATGTAACAGTATTGGTTGTGTCAACAGTTCAACAACTACACAGACGACATTAGCAGCTGGTAAGGAATGTTTATTGGTCACCTTTGTCATCATAATTGTACCATTTCACATTTGTCACCTTGGTTATCATAATTGTGCAATATTATCTTAGTAACCTTGGTTACCATAATTGTACAATATATATTATCTAAGTCACTCACCTTGGTTACCATAATTGAACAGTACAGTATTATCTTTGCCATCTTCAGGTAAGTTATATTTGTCAATTTGGTTACCATAATTATACCATATTTCCATTGGTCACCTTTGTTATCCCATTGAATGAAGTTCGAAGAGATATAGGGAACGCCTCCGTCCGTCCGTCCGTCCGTCCGTCCGTCCGTCCGGGCAATAACTCAAATACTGTTGGCTGATATTGTTCATATTTTGTACACATATAACCTATGGGGGTAGAGGTTCTGCTTGAAAGCCAATTTTCAAAATACATCTTGAAAAATGGCGGCCTTTACTCCTTATTTTACGATTTTTGCTGTAACTCGAAAAGTAGTGGAGCGATTTTGTTCATATTTGGTATATGTGAATACTATAAGCATGGCGCACTGTCTAATGACACTTTTGGTAGAAGGTGGCCAATTTTTGAAAAATGGCCGCCATTTTAACATATTTTACTATAACTCGAAAAGCAGTGGAAGGATTTTGTCCAAATTTGGTATGTGAATACTATAAGCATGGTACACTGTCTAATTACACTTTTGGTAGAAGGCGGCCTTTTTGAAAAATGGCCACCATTTTAACATATTTTACTATTGACACTTTTGGTAGAAGGTGGCCAATTTTTGAAAAATTGCCGCCATTTTAACATATTTTACTATAACTCGAAAAGTAGTAGAGCGATTTTGTTGATATTTGGTATGTGAATACTATAAACATGGCACTGTCTGTTGATATTTGGTAGAAGGCGGCCATTTTGAAAAATGGCTGCCATTTTTGCTATTTTATTTTGTTTGTAAAAATGCCAGCCATGGCTGTTCGATGAGATTTGCTACGCTTTGGCGTTGCTGTTGTCTAGTTACCATAGTTCTCTTTTTAGTACCTCTTCCCAACTGCTGTTAACTATCGGACAACAACCACATTTTGGTCAATAGGTTTGTGTCTCAATCTTTATCCAAAGTCAGTTTTTATGTCATCACCACAAGTGGTGACATATTGGTATAGTCTCCACGCTTCTTGTGGATGGTGTTCAGTGGTTGGCATTCAGCAGATGGTGTTTGGCATTCAGCAGTTGGTGTTTGGCATTCAGCCCCTGTAGCAAATGGCATTTTGATTGTTAATGCCTTGTTGTGTATTTCTGACAAAATGTCATGTATGATTTCAGCTCCATCTGAACCTGCACCTCCTTCTGTCAGTGGGTACAATGCCTCGACAATGAGTATCAAATGGGATGCTCCACAAGAAATCAATGGGCCTGACCCCACATATCATGTCGAGAGGGCAGCCACAGCATTCAACCACCCCCCTCCTACAGTGGAGAAGGGTACGAGATTCCCTGGGGGTGGCTATTACAAGTTTAAACCAGACACTGTTCCACAGAGTGTAACATTTACAGGTAATGTATAATATGAATTTTTATATACACTACTTCAAAATGTTATTTTTAATTCTTTATCCAAATAAAAAATACTATGTTTATGTGTATTGTCAGTTATAATTTTAACCATAAACAAGACATTAATTTGACATTGAAAACTCCCCACCTGTAATTAAATTAAATAATAATTGAAGTGTAATAATTTGTTACAAATATTGAATAGCAATGCTAAATGACTGTCACAAAAAACCTTGTCTAACAATACGAGGTGCCTTGATTTCTGGTTACTATGGCAACCACTACTTATCTAATATTTCTGTTATACCAAATATTTTTTGATAGATTAATACAGTGTTCTATACTGCAGATTTCATGAAAATTTCATTAGAATATTTTGAAAAATAAAAAAATTAAAGAGATATTATGAGAACTTTATGATATACAAGGGTTATGTACTGGGAGGTTTTGGATATGGGGTTTATCCAGAGGGAGATATGCATATCTACCCGAGGGACCGTAGGGACCGAAGGTAGATGTGCATATCTCACGAGGGATGAACCCAATATCCAAACCGACCGTACATAACTGCTTTATCCTATACCAAGTAGAGTTTTCAGGGGCATACTATTTCAATAGTACAAGGTGTAAAAATAAACAAATCATTCATATGCAAAGTCATTTTATTGCATTTCCACTACTTACCGGAAGCGGGAAGATATGCACCGAAGCGGGAGATATGCACCGAAGCGGGAGATATGGAGGTTCTGGATATGGAAACCTCAAAATCAGGATACGGGATATATCTTACCAACTTATCTCCCTAGAACTCTACTTGGCATAGGATAAACCCTCGATTTGTCGCCACTTTGTGGATATTCGAAATGACTCTAAAAATGTTCAATTTCACCATTGTAGGTATTGAGATTGAGTTCAGGACGTGGCAGAGAGATGGACTATTGATGTTTGCTGCCTCTGAGGGCAATCAAGAGGAATTCTTCGCCATACAGCTCAGCAAGGGACGACCTTGGTTCCTGTTCGACCCCCAAGGTGGCTCTTTTATTCATTTAAAATATTTTATGATGAATTAGTTCTTATGCAATTACATTTTTTGCAAGAAGCTGTTTGATCTTTTACATGGACATTGTATAAATTCTTTCAAGAGATTTACTTTATACCATAGATAGTTATATGATATAAGCACTGTTTTCAGAAAACTTGTATTATGTGGCTGGTAAGTGTGAAGAAGAACAACATTTAACTGGATAGTAAAATTCCTATCAACATTTGTATGAGATTTTTGGAAAATATTACAGGATTCAAAGTGCATTTTAATTAACATTTTTAAAGATGCATAACAATTTTGCATATGAGAAAATTGTCAAGTAAATTATATTCTTTTGTTTAAAGTTGCATGTCGATATTTACTTGCATTTGAGAAAATCTTTGCATAAGCCAGAATCTTGTTTTAAGTTGCATGTTGACATACTTGCATATGAGAAAATCATTGAGTAGGCCATAATCTTGTTTTAAGTTGCATGTTGATATTTACTTACATTTGAGAAAATCTTTGAGTAGGCCATGCTTTTGTTTTAAGTTACATGTTGACATACTTGCATTTGAGAAAATCTTTGAGTAGGCCATGCTTTTGTTTTAAGTTACATGTTAATATACTTGCATTAGGCTGCTATACATGGATAGAACCAGATCCAGAATTAGACGGTAATGTCACATACTCAGATGGGGAGTGGCATCAATTGAAGGCACAGCGTTCAGGAACTGACGCTTATATATCTGTGGATGGAAACGAAGGTTAGGCTTAATGTCATGAGGTGTTTCTATTAATAGATTGAAGTGTTATTGTTTTGTAGGTGATGTAGGTGTGCTTTCGTAATAGTTGGTGTTCATATTTTACATATACAGGGTGAGCCAAAAAGGTAATTCAAACAAATGTTAATAACTCGGTCATCCAGCATGGGTTTAAAATCATAAATAGCGCAATATAATCTTGTTCAATGTTCTTTCATTCAAATAAGTCTCATCAGTCGTATTCTTAATGGTCACAAGTTTATGGCTGTTTTACATAAACATGCTCCAAATGCCGAAACATGCCAAAATCACCCAATATGAACCCAAAGAATTTTTATGAGCTGTTCCAAAGCTAATGTTTACATTAACTACCCTAGAAGCATCAGAGAGTCGAAACAAGATATTAGAAGGAAGATGAGAACCATAACACTAGATATCTTTGAGTGTATAGTAAGAACAACTTCACCTGATGTTCCAAATATGACTGTAAACCCATGCTAAATGACTGAGTTATTAACATTCGATTGAATTAATTTTTTGGCTCACCCTGTGCATGTATTTGTACGACTCACTTGCATTCTTTTATGCTAGAGTTTTCCATCTTATCCCACCCTACCAGGCTTTTAGACCCCTGCTTGTAACTGTTCCAGTTACAGCCCAGCTGCCTTGTTAATTTCTTAAATATACCAAATTAGAAAAATCATTAGGACCAGATATATATTTACTGCCCATGGTCCTTTAAGTTAGTGATATGTCACACTCTAGTGATATAAAATGCAAAGTTTGGTGTCAATTCATTAACATCAGTATGTTGGACAACTCTGGCACTGTTATTTTAGGTTCTGTCCTGTTTGGTTTGATAGATAGTGCTGTGTTGGTTAACCCTTCCTCCCCCTCCCTCCTCCACTTCATTGTTTAGTTGTACCTTATACATAGCGAAGCCTTGTATCATTTTAAAGATGTAATGAAGCTATCTTTTTACAATTGGAATGAATATATGTACCTTCATTTTGGTAATTAGTCGTTATAACAGAATCATATTAGTGATTGTGTCTGCAATCCATTATAACTATCATGATCTTTAAAATGGAGGCTCTATATGATAAGGTATAGCTATAAAACAATGCATTCCCTGTTTCTGTGTGTTTTACTTTCAACTTAACTTATAACTTATTGGGCTCCACTAGGGTGCGCCACTATTGTTACAACCACGGATGATGAAGGGCTACCATATAACAAAGGTGATTGGCATAGACTTCGGGCAGCACGTGTCGAAAAATCTGCATCTATAGAACTGGACGGAAAGTATAAAGGTTTGGATCGCAAATTGGCAGCCCTGAATTTGATTGTGCATGCATGATTTGTTTGATGTCGGGTTTAAAACTCATTAAAGCATAATTCTCTTCCAGTTTTTATTGTAGATAGTCAAAAATGATGATATTTTCTTAGTCTAAATGCCATACTTAAATTTGAGAAATAAATCCCATACTTTTTGAGAAATGATATATGAGGTGAATACTGGAATAATCCTAGTATTTATATATTCCTGTTTTTTATTGTTATTAAAGGAAATTAACTCTACATCAATAAACGTTTTTGTTTACTACATGAATAACTCAGATTTTATTGATCTTAACCCCATTGTTGAAAAATTTGAATTCATTTCCATTTCAATTTATTTATCTCCTATTTTGAACTCCTTATCCCCAGAATAAAGTGAAGATGCTATCGTTTTGAATCATGATTTGGCATATATTAGCAATGTCACCAGCAGCATACAATAAAAATGGCATTCACCTGTATATTAGTTCTACCAAAGCCCAAGATTGTTTTAAAATCATTATCAAAAACCTAATAGCTACATAGATAATGTCTTTCCTGATATGCAATTTTTGTATACTAAAATATAGAGTATTTATCTTGTGTATTGAATAGACATTTTGAATTCAAAATCAATTTGGTATATAAATTATATATATATGGCTTAATTACTAAGAAGATGTCATCCACATAAAAGCTTGTCAGCACGTAGCAATGAGAGAGAATGCAGGAAATGACGCACTTCCATTAAAGATTACTACGATTTACAGTCTTACAAATTGTTCTTGTATTTGCCTTAGCGTGGTTTTGACACTAAATGCTACCCCTGTATAGTCCACTCACAGTATCACCCTCCCCGATGAACATTCTCATATCACTTAGTTTTGTTTTCATTTCCATATTTTTTGTTTATTACTATTTTACTCTTACTCCAGTAGATTTATTAGAAATATAGCTATGTTTTTTTGTTAACATTTAGTTTTTCAAGCTTAGTTTTGTTTCAACGTAGTGCCTATGACTAATGTGGAGTGACATCATGTTGCTAAATTTTTTGTCGTCAAAACAAAAGCATGGGACACATGTTTAGTTTATCAAATGGTCAAAATGAGTCTGACTTTTGGAAAAAATTCTCAGGGCAAATCAGGATAAAAATGTAATTGAGTTAGACCAACATAAACACTACATGAACATGTACATCTTAAGTGTAAAAATTCATTTTATTTTTAGTTGACTTCGTTTTGCATTCTTTTAGTGTACAATTGTGTCAAAACCCACGCATGACAATTTACTTGAACCTATTGTATAGCTCTAAATCATTTCTTTCTCATTGCTTCTTTCCACCATCGGGGACCTCACTCATTCACGTTTGAATAATTTATCTCGTTTGAATGTCACGTCATGAATTACAAGGTGAATTATGCACTTACGTAGTTTAGCCCTTATTTCAATAAATTATGCATGATCAAATTTAATTAATTTCGGCATGCTTTGAATTATGTATTGTTTGCATGCTACTTTTGGCACATTGGAAAACCAGGGAGCATCAGTTATCAAACATCCTGTTATAACCACTAAATAGATGGAAGCACTTTACTAAATTCTGGAATGAAATATTTGAGAGAAAATCTAAGAGAATTTATCATAGTTAAAGAGGCACTGTCTGCAAGTGGATTAAGGTGGTTCCACACTTTCAGAAAAATTGAAAAAATAATTTTAAAAATGTCCTTTAATATTTGGATGTTGAATTAAGCGTTCTATAAAAACAAAATTTTAATGAATAGATATTGATTAATTGTTGTGAAAATTGCATGAAAATTACATGAAAATTGCATGAAAATTACATGAAAATGCTCGCCATGTGGATCTACCTAAGACTGAGACAAAAATGGTTCCTTTGAAAAAAAGTATATAAAGTCCTACTCATAGAAATATACATATGAGATTCACTTACTTTATATGAATAGCAAAAGAGACGGTACCACTTTATTTAACAAATGAATGTACAATGCCACTTTAAATTTATTTTAATGCACATATGTCATACATTCATCTAAATGTTTTCTTTAAAATATTATAAGATGATATAGTTTTCAATTCTACAAGATTGTTTTTTGTTTTCAGGAGGGATGAAAACATTTCAACCCTTCTTATTATTATAAAGATGAAAGTTAAATCGATATATTGTATTAAAAAGTATACATCAATTAGGTTTATTTGATAAAAGGAGGGGGCGATTATGTTATTACAAAGTTATAGCAAAGTCAATCTAAAAATGTATACTGACCACACATGTATCAGGAGCTGTTAGTATTTCACAAGAGTAACCTATTCATGCACAATTCACATACATTTTTGATTTGATTTTGTATTAGGTACAAAAGTTGGAACATGTGCCACTGGAACTATAATAGGTCCCAATACAGGAGTTTATATCGGAGGCCTTCCAAAGGATTTTGTCATGAGGCGCAAAGAAACGGATAAGAGAGCTAATGTAAGTTTATTCCCTTAAAAATGTTTTTTGACCTTTTATGGGGTCGTTGAGTTGGCCGAGTGATGTAAAGCACTGAACTGGCTTAGCTAGGCGCTGTGTGATAACCATGAGGTCGTGAGTTCAAGACACGTGAGAGTCCCAACTTTAATTTTTAAGCAGCTCTACTAGAGATAAGTATGAGGCACACATCTGTTTCTTCTGTAATTTGTCATAAAAACATTTACTTTTTATGCTGTACTTTGTCATCAAGAGCATTTACTTTTTATGCTGTACTTTGTCTTCAAGAGCATCTTCATTATACCCCTGTCTCTAACTTTCTGCTGTAAGTTTGTCATGAAGTCCATATCATACATCTGGTTCTACTGTACTTTGATGTTCTATAGGTCGTTAGACAAAGTTTCCAAGGCTGTCTGGGTAAAATCACTATAGTAAAGCAAGAAGTTCCTGTAGAGATAAAAGAAGAACTGAAATGGGAAGATGCCATTTTAAATCACCAAGCCTCACCCACATGGGAGGGATGCCCTATAAACCTCCAGGATGGAATTCATTTTCTTGGCAGAGGTGAGAATCATATTGTTTCTATGCTTTTATTTCACCACAAAAAGGGATATGTATTGTTATAGCCATCATTTTTGTGACTGCGTATTCAGAATCAGTGGTCACTGGTTGGCATATGTAACCAAATGTTACCATTTTAAGGTGGTAAGGCTTTGGTTTTGTTAGATATAGAAAATACCTTGGTGTTAAGTTAGTTAGAAAACTAGTGTAAACCTATGGAATTCAACCAAATCATCAGTTTTGACCATTCCAGTCTGTGCATGTTGTTAAAAGATTTATTTCCATTGCAGGTTTTTTGGCAATCACTACATACTCACCTCCCACCTACAAATTCCGTGGTGGTAAAAATTTCCACATTACCTTTGATTTACGGACAAATTTCCGCTCTGGGCTACTGTTTTTCGGCCATGGGGTAAAAGATGTGTACTTCTATGGGGAGCTCATAGATGGGAATATACACTTTGTGTTTAGCAATGGCGTTGTGGATTCGACCGTCACATACCCGAATAACCTCATTTCAGCATGCAATGGTGATTGGTTGAATGTTAATTTCACCAAATCTGGCTCTGAACTTTCCATACAAGTTAACAAAGAGAGCCCTGTGATTGGCCAAGGAGATCCCCAAGTTTTGGCTATTGTGGTGATGACATCATCTTTCTACGTCGGTGGAATCCCAAATGAAGGCCCCGTTGCAGATTTTGTATCTGATCATGGTTTAAGCCTTCAAGATGGCTTTGGAGGGTGTATCAGGAACCTATATCTAAATGACAAAGCGAATACAGCAGATTTTATGACGCTTTTGGCTGATATTGACAATGTTAACTTGGATGGGTGCCCATCTCAGAACACCAATACTACTGTTGGACCATGTGGGAATAACCATCCCTCAGAAATATACAGGTGAGTTTAATTGAACCATGTGGGGATAACCATCCCTCAGAAATATACAGGTGAATTTAATTGAACCATGTGGGGATAACCATCCCTCAGAAATATACAGGTGAATTTAATTGAACCATGTGGGGATAACCATCCTTCAGAAATATACAGGTGAATTTAATTGAACCATGTGGGGATAACCATCCTTCAGAAATATACAGGTGAGTTTAATTGAACCATGTGGGGATAACCATCCTTCAGAAATATACAGGTGAGTTTAATTGAACCATGTGGGGATAACCATCCTTCAGAAATATACAGGTGAGTTGAATTGAACCATGTGGGGATAACCATCCTTCAGAAATATACAGGTGAGTTTAATTGAACCATGTGGGGATAACCATCCCTCAGAAATATACAGGTGAGTTTATTGAACCATGTGGGGATAACCATCCCTCAGAAATATATAGATGAGTTTATTGAACCATGTGGGGATAACCATCTCTCAGGAATATACAGGTAAGATTTATTGCACATTCAACATCATTTTAGTGAAGAGTCAAACTGAATGAAATCATTGTGCAGAATGCCCATGCAATTTGCACATGATTATACCCCTATATATGGGTTCTTCAAATTTTATCTCTTGTTCTATCTGCAATAGCATTTAAATGTGTTCCACCTAATCATGTACAATATCTATTGCTTTCCCCGTGGGCCAAGCAAGACATTGACAATACCCTCAAGCGATTCACTGAGAAATGTGTTCAAATGTTACCCCTTGTGCTGACTGTAATCACATGTATATGTATTTTACATATGAATATATTTTACATTTTACCCCTTATGCTGACTGTTATCCATCCTCCGACCACAGGGCTTCAAAATCCAGAATATATTCTTTCTTTTTACCCCCTGCGATAAGCAGTTACCTTTTCCCTGATTAAAAACTCGCAATCTGATTGGCTGTCGCAACACTGCAACAGAAATCATGTATAAGTCATTGCGCATAATTAGATCACGTGATTCAGTTAAATCAGGCACTTCCAAATTGGTTATAGCAGGGGGAAGAAGGAGGTACGGATTCTGGACACCTGCTTAGGAGGATGACTGTTATCCCATGTAGAGGTATTTGACACGTACATATATTTTATTCCCCAGTGGGCCAGGCAAGCAGGCATTTGACAATAACCTTGAGCCATTCACTGACTACATCTACCGCACAATAGCTGAGAATCACGCAGGATCTAGCTCTAGCAACTGGGCTGGAGGACGCACGAAAGAAGGAGGTAAAATAAATATCACCTCTTTAAAACTGATCTCAGTTGTGATTGGTTGGTATTAGTCTCATTTTGACACATAGCACATTATCAGTATATGTATTTGATTTCAAGAAAAAAATTCTGGAAACCATTGATTTTTAAACCATATGCAACCCCTCCACTATTATAGTCACAGAAATAACCCAATTAAGCTAGCATTTCTAGCATTATATGCTGTGTACAATTCTTTTCCTATTGCAGCCCCAACTGGTGTTTACAGTCCCACCAATGTAGAAGCAGTGACAGGGTACATTATCAGTGCAGAGTGGCAGGCACCAAGTGGCCAAACAGGGCTGTTGAAGGAATACCGCTTACGAGGCCATGATCTTGACAGAGGAAACGGCACTATGGTGGAGACGTCATTTAACATTAGTACATTTGCAGGTAAATTTGGCTTTTTCAATGGCATTGTTTAACATTAGTACATTTGCAGGTAAATTTGGCTTTTTCATTGGCATTGTTTAACATTAGTACATTTGCAGGTAAATTTGGCTTTTTCAATGGCATTGTTTAACATCAGTACATTTGCAGGTTAATTTGGCTTTTTCATTGGCATTGTTTAACATTAGTACATTTGCAGGTTAATTTGGCTTTTTCAATGGCATTGTTTAACATCAGTACATTTGCAGGTAAATTTGGCCTTTTCATTGGCATTGTTTAACATTAGTACATTTGCAGGTAAATTTGCCCCTTTCATTTGCATTGTTTAACATTTGTACATTTGCAGGTAAATTTGGCTTTTTCATTTGCATTGTTTAACATTAGTACATTTGCAGGTGAATCTGGCTTTTTCATTGGCATTGTTTAACATTAGTACATTTGCAGGTACATTTGGCTTTTTCATTGGCATTGTTTAACATCAGTACATTTGCAGGTTAATTTGGCTTTTTCATTGGCATTGTTTAACATTAGTACATTTGCAGGTAAATTAGGCTTTTTCATTGGCATTGTTAAACATTAGTACATTTGCAGGTACATTTGGCTTTTTCATTGGCATTGTTTAACATCAGTACATTTGCAGGTTAATTTGGCTTTTTCATTGGCATTGTTTAACATTAGTACATTTGCAGGTACATTTGGCTTTTTCATTGGCATTGTTAAACATTAGTATATTTGCAGGTACATTTGGCTTTTTCATTGGCATTGTTTAACATTAGTACATTTGCAGGTACATTTGGCTTTTTCATTGGCATTGTTTAACATTAGTACATTTGCAGGTAAATTTGGCCTTTTCATTTGCATTGTTTAACATTAGTACATTTGCAGGTAAATTTGGCCTTTCCATTGGCAATGTTTAACATAAGTACATTTGCAGGTAAATTTGGCCTTTTCATTGGCAATGTTTAACATTAGTACATTTGCAGGTAAATTTGGCCTTTTCATTGGCATTGTTTTGATTTTACCACTTCCTGTTGTGGTGACATATTGTTGTGGTCTATAACTTTGTTTTGTGGACCTCATTTGGCGTTGGTGTTTATAATTGTATTGTATATTCAGGTGAAATAACAACAGCTATACCATATACCAACTACAGTGTTCATCTAGTGGCCTGCACAGCTGGGGGGTGTACAGAGAGTGTAGGAGTAAATGTATTGACCAAAGAAGAAGGTATGTACATTCAACACATCAATGCTGTAGGACCATATTACTTCTAAATTTAATGTTCAACTATCATATCATCCTTGGAATAAATGTCATATCCCACATCTTGCTGCTTAAGCAATTTTCACTATCATTCATTTGGATAAATTCTATATCTTATCCTTTATTACGTAAAACCTCTACATGTTCCAGTCTCAATAGAGTGTTAGCAACTCCATAGAGGAAAAACCAACAAACCTCTACATATACAATGTTCAGATATCAAATCATACCCTCAGATAAATACCATATCTTATCCTTTATATGTTTCAGCCCCAGAGGAAGTGTCAGTACCTACTGCGGAAGTAGGACCAACATATCTGTATATGAAATGGACTCTTCCTGCTAAACCTAATGGTGTAATAACAGGGTACTTCCTCTACAGAGATAACCTTGAGGTTTACAGTGGAGGTGAAATGGCCTTCAATGTTACCAATCTGAATGTAAGTACCTATGTAACATTCAGTGATTTCAAGTTGAAATGGACAGATTGATTTTATGGTACTTTTTTCACAGCAGGGTTAAAGTACTTTATGGTGAATGGTACTTTTTCCACAGCAAGGTTAAATGACTTATGGTGAATGGTACTTTTTTCACAACAGGGATAAATTACTTTATGGTGAAGCATTTTGACAAAAGCTTAATATGAATATGAATAAATACGTAATAAGACATATTTTGTGCCTTTTTATGTCAGGCCCGTTACGCCAGGATTTGCCAAGGGGAGTTCACTTTTTGAAAAATACCAGGGGGGTTCACTTGTGACAATTTTGGTCCAAAATCACTTAAAAAGTGCTCAGAATGGTGAAAAACTGCATGATTTTGAAAGATTTTTGGCCAGGGGGGTTCGCTCGAGCCTATCGAACCCCCCTGGCTACGGGCCTGTATGTAACACCTCAAAATTATTTTTACAGATATTTTTGTCAAAATGCTAAACATTAAAGCAATTGCAACCCTGCCGTGTAACATGTACCAATGATAAGACATTGGATATCTCTGTATATTAGCATTTGCCTGAAACATTTATTGTCTTTGGGTTTCACTAGAAGCGGATGTAAACGACATGCTCACATTGTAGGTGTATGTTGGCTATGAGTTCTATGTAAGAGCCTGTACCAAAGTGGGGTGTTCTAATGGACCTTCAACAACCATCAGTACAGCACAATTGCCACCAAGCTTTGTAGATAAGCCAGCACTAACTGTCCTAGGTAACTATGGCTATCAGATCAATCATAATGTATGGTACCCTTTTGAAAATACTATTCAACCAAAGAATATTGATACTAGCATTGTGCTGTATCAAGTCAGGAGAAAATACCTTGTGTCAACATGCAATTATTCAATACTTTGAATTGAGATAGGACAGTTCATGAAAACGTTTTCATTTAGAATGGCCACTTGATTTTTTCAGATTATTCAATTTGTGTATGTAATTCTATTTAGGTACAAAAAGAGTGTTTGTGGAGTGGTCCAGACCTGCACAATTGAATGGGGCTCTAAAACGATACCTTCTCTATGTGTCTACACTTGCCGATTCTCACGGGGAAGTACGTTACAACAGCTCTGATTTCTTCCTGGATTACACACTAGAGGGCCTGAATGCTGGCTCAACATATTACATACGTGTAGCGGTAAGTCTTCAAATCATTGTTATAGCATTTCTTGGGCTACTGGATAATCAAAAAACAAGTCTGTCCTGGATGTACATGGGCAAACCTCAGGTTTTTAGATACATCAGTATGATTCCTATGATTTCCTTCAAGTGACTTCACTGAATTTCATCATAAAGTATATATCATTACACCTTCAAACCTGAAATGATTGAAGAACAGAAGAAATGATGGCCGTTCAAAATCACTCATCGTTGGTGGCTATTAAGCAATCAGAATGTAGGATTCTAAAAAGTCATAATGAATCTTGAACCTGGGTATCTTATAATATTGTTTGTGTATTTAGGCATGTACAGGAGGTGGCTGTACTAAGAGTGAGCCCAGTCTAGCTACTACTGAAGAGAGTGCCCCTGAGGATGTATTTGACCCCACATGGACATCTCCCAGTCCCTCAGAGCTCTATATAACATGGCAGATACCTGGTCTTCCCAATGGTCAGTTTGAAATACTATATGAATTGTGCTGATATATTTCTGCATTTCTAGCTTAATTGTAAGACATTTTGTTGTCAAAGAGATAGTTCATAAAGATGTAGATACATGTAAGGATTCAATATGCCATAAAACAGATGAATGTAAAAAAACACCTATTGTCATCTTGATAATGAAGTTAAGATTATGTTATATTTGAAGCATTCCATCTGGGCTCATCATCTTGGTCATTACAGATTTATTTTATCTTCCAGGTAACATACTAAAATATGAGCTATATCAAAATGGCTTGATGGTATTCAGTAATGCAACCACCCGTGAATACAGGGCCACTGGGCTTGAACCATACAGTTTACATACACTTCGAGTCGTGGCCTGTACAGCTAAGGGGTGCGGATCAAGCAATGAGGTCCAGGCACGAACTATGGAGGCTCCACCTATTGGTACAGTTGTCCTGGAGATGCGAGTGAATGGGCCGAGATCTGTGAGTGTACGTTGGAACCCACCTTCAGTACCCAATGGACGTGTCTACTTCGATATATATTTCCAAGGACTCTACTACAGAGATGCAGGTAAGAGGCCCATTGATTATATACGTTCATTAAAGGGGAATTAAAGAGATTATGTGATGTCATTTTACACAATGATCATTAATGTTCAGCACAAAGTCTAGTGCTCTGTCAGTAACGGGGTAATTGGTTTTTCACTTAACACACATTTACATCCTAATTTGATCATCATTAAAAGTGACCATCCTTCCGGTAACTGGACAATTCGGACCCAGGACAACTTGGACCCAGGACAACTTGGACCCAAGACACCCTTCCATCAGAGGGGAAGTGGCGTTTGTGGGGTCTTGGGAAGATGGAATCGTTCTATGCCACATGTTTTATCAATTCTTATTTAGTTGTAATTAAGAATGTAAATACAGGGTATGCTAAATATATTGCCAAATATTTCATAATGTTGCTTGACACTTTTATAGATAATTGGGATTATTCCACCGTGAGGGAACGTCGGAGTTTACATCGCACTGAGACCAGTGGAAGATGGGTTGAGATAGACACTCTCATTTCAGACAGTATATACAGCATACAGGCCAATGCATCTAACACCAAGGGTTTCATTATCAGCAACACACAAGTGGCAACCATGCCCCCAGGAGGTATGTAGAAGGTCTTGTGCCATAGTACAGGATAGGCCAAAAAGATGTTACCCATTCTGAACTGGCAGGAATGTAATAATTGTATTTTTGGCCCACCCTGTATATAAAACATGCAAGTGGCCAATATGCCCCCAGGATGGAGGTAGAAGCCCTTGTGTCATAGTAAATAAAACAGACAAATGCCTAAAATGTCCCCTGGATATAAATATAAGATCTCTGTGTATTGTATAAAATACTGATGCTTATATTAACCATTACAAGTAGATGTGTTCATCTCACAACAATCTCAAAACTACTGATATTTGTTTTAAATAGTCATTTAAATAAATGTGATTCGTTACAGTTGTATTTTGTTTATTCTAGCTCCGGATGGTGTCAGGCCCCCAGTTTTGGTATCCCCCTCCCCCACTCAGATTAGAGCCACATGGCAACAAGTGGGAAGAGCCAACGCCAGGCAACAACCACTATTTCAGTTACAGGTTTGATATTCATATCGTATGGTAATGCTTTTAATTTTGAAATACCAACATGAAAATGATATAGCCATTGAACCACAGCTTCATGTACTGTTTATGAGACTATGTTTTTATAGATATTTATTCACATCTTCCCAGTTCTCTTGCCAAAAATATATATAAAAACATAGTCTCATACTGTTTATGATATCTGAATTACATACATTGTTAATGATATCAGTCAACCCAGTCAATCTAGAGTGGAATTCAGTCTAAAGCTTTATAATCATGAGAATTTTACTTTATTTTCTCTATTTTACAGTTCCGACACACTTTTCCTGGTGCCATTGTGGAAGATCTATTTGCTGAAACTACAACAGCCACAACATTCCTCAAGGAAGGACTTAACCCTTATACAGAGTATCAAATGAGACTAGTGGCCAGTAACACATATGGACAGACCAACACAGAATGGGTGTCTCTTTATACTATGCAAGATAGTAAGTTATCTCAAGTATTTGACATTTTATGAGAGCGCTATGATAATTGTTAATATCTATATGTTAAAAGCTTTTAGCTTGGTGATCAAGGATTTAATATGGCGTAAAATGTTCACCCATTTTATTCTGGTATATAGAACAAAAAAGTACATTGAGGAATTGTGAAGCATTTAAGATTTTCACAGGATATTTTGCAATGACTATTATATAAAATGTAAGTATTTTTTGAAAGACTACTTGCTTTCATGTGCCATTCAATTCCATCATACAAATATGTATGCAGTAAAGAAATAAAGTGTGTCGCAGTCAGATATTGTGCCTGTTAGCCACCATAATATCAATGTTATATGTCTTATATTTGTAGAGCCCTCAAGCATAGACCCTCCCATGACAGGCAACATACAAGCCAGACAAGTGGACGTTATATGGGAACAACCAGCACGTCCTAATGGCATCATTATGAAATACAACATATACATCAATAATATATTTAGAGAAGTTGTAAGTACAGTACTTGGAATTAAACTTAACAAAATCATCAAATTGATCTTGTTGCATGGATTCAGTATTGATACAATAAAGGATCTCTCTGCAAATAACTCTCAGTATTTCAAAAGATGTAACTTTAACACTAAATACTGTGTCTTTTTCCAGGTACCTGGTAACTTAACAAGATGGACAGTGACTAAGTTAACCCCTTACTCCACCTATATATTCAAGATAGAGGCGTGTACTGTAGCTGGATGTAGCATTAGTGCTGACTCCAGGCCTGTACAGACATTTGCTGCAGGTAAGTACAAGAAGTCAGTGCTTAGTGGAGGCATATGTAAACTTGTAATGTTTTATATGTATAAGATGTTCATGTACACCTCTGTATGAGGGCAATAGAGTCTTTTGTGTTGATTTTATTATGACTCAGTTATAATAGACACCATTAAATACTATTAAGGTAGGAGATCTAATGTGCTTTTACACATATATCATGCATTCTGATTTAGCTCCTGAGGGTGTAGCAAGGCCTACTCTTATCTCTGAAACACCTACATCTGTGCTAGTCCAATGGACATCCCCATCCTCACCCAATGGCATCCTACAGGGTTACACATTGCAACGCAAGGACTTCAACTCAACAATCATCACAGATATTGAGCAGGTAACTAATACTGCTATCCAATTTATGCCATTATAGATTGCCTTGTCATTGCACATATTTGTTGTTTTCTGTTCGTGGGGGTATTTTCTAAATTGCTCATAAAATTCTACAAAAATGTATGTGAAAATTACACCTTTTTTTCAGATTTATAATCAGGCGACAAATTTTATTGAATACTAGTATTTTTTGTAGGCTGATGATATCATTGTATTTGCAAATGTTTTACCATATATAGTACTCTTATAGACTTATAGACTGATGTATAAATCTTACTCTTGAATGTCATCAAAATACGTTAAAAAACAGAATAGATTGAGTTTAGTTTCCATATAAGCCCATATATGCCATAATAGCAAAGGCTTATTTTGCTATATTATTTATCTGAACCGTTTTTCAGACATTAGTTCTAAAGGCCATGCCGCTCGAAACCTGCACATGCAAATTTGATTTAATAACAAATGCATTTCAGTTTGGACCAACTGCAAGCAAACGCTACGTGGATGAAGATAAAGTGTTGACCCCTTATACAGTGTATGAGTATAGGGTGGGGGCCATCAGTGGGCCTGGTACAACATACAGTCCCTGGACACCAGTTACAACTAAACCATCAAGTAGGTTTATTAAGATGGAGATAATTTATATAATTCCCTAAAACCAAAGATCATGGAAATAACAGTGGGGGAGTGGGTTGATACAACTGATACAAGTTACAATTTGATGGAGTTCATTTGCATTTAAGTTGTATTATTTTATGATATTGTACATAATTGGAACATAAAGGGTGTGTAATTGCATTAAATTGTATGTACATGTTTGTCTTATTGCCCATATTTGAATTTAATCATTGTATTTTACTTTTATTTTAAGATCAGTGATTGAAAAACATGGCATTCTTGTCAACATACACAGTTTACAATCATTCATTTTAATATGTTTCCTTGTATCTAGACCCAGGGGGATTGAGTCCACCTATAGTGCGTATATTGGGTCCTCGAAGCATGGAAGTGAAGTGGCAACCACCAATACAGAGCAATGGCCAACTTGAATTGTACATCGTGAAACTACCAGCACCATCTGTTGAGCTACGCAATCTCACCCAGTTAATGGTTGTAGTCGAGGATCTGATACCATTTACAGAGTACTTTGTGACAGTGACAGCGTGTAATGGTATGTTGTGATATTATATGATTTTCATTGTGACCACTGTGCCAATTTGTAGTGTTATTAAAATTATACAGTGATACTTGTATATCTGAACACCTCTCAATATGAACACTTTTTCTTGGTCACAAATTTGTAACCTCCTATTGGCTCAAATGTTGATAAAATACTGAAATGTGAACACCTGCTAATCTGAACACTTTTTGTCTATCCAAGAGTCACTTGGATAAGACAGGTTTTATTATATATGGTTAGCACATTGCAATTGAAATGTAGCATTTGAAATTACAGAGAATTTTAACTGGCTTGTATTGTGCTTAAGCTTTTTATTTAATGCAATTAATCATGAAATTATGTCCATAGATTTTTGTAAATGTGTTGATATTTTAATTTTACAGAAGCTGCTTGCACTGAAAGTGGTGTTACCAAGGTAACAACTGACCCTACTCTTCCTGAGGGACAAGGACCCCCAGATGTGACCCCCATTTCTCAGACGTACATCTATGTCTTATGGCAGCGTCCTGAAAGACCTAATGGACCAGGACTACGCTATGAGGTGGATAGACGCAAAATCAGCCAGCCCTTAGATTGTAGGTTTAATCATGACCATAATAATTGAAGCAAGAAAATTTTTACTAGTTGGTAACTTGAACAACATCGAGAGAAAATTTTAAAAAAATTAATACCAATCCATGGAATCAATGTAAAATTTGTACCTTAAAAAATGAAAATAATTATGAAAGATTATGAACCAACCTGCCATATAAATATAAATAATTAAGCCAGGTACACTTCTATAATTAATATCAAATTTTTTGACATCAGAATCCCTTTATTGGGTTTCTTTAGACTGAAACCACAAATTAACAATGCGTCTGCTAGAATAATGCATTGTGGGTATTATTTATTTTCAGCATCAGCAACAAATTTCTTGTCATGGGAAAGTGTTTATACTGGAGCAGAGACATTCTATGAAGACAGAGGCCTCAGTATATTTACAACATTCAACTATCGAGTGACTGTTTATAACGATTATGGTCAGGTGACAAGTGTTCCATCTATAGATGTCACTACTTTTGGCGGCGTGCCAACCAAGTCTCCAATTGTCAGTGCATATGCAATAAGTCATGTGGCCATCTCATTCAACTGGACCCTTCCAAGTAAGTATGTAGTGTGTTACATTTAAAGGGACTGTATAGTATTTGTTACATTAAAGGGGCAATATTGTCTAGAGTCCAGGGTCTCTGGTACTCACCTAGTTTACATGTGGCAATATTCATGAAGATCGTCAATGTAACAAAAGCGATGGACTAAATATGTAAATTGCGTCTTCGTTAATATACCAAACATAGAACCGCCTGCATATTCTCAAACTAGACTATCTTCCTTAACTTTGATTATTACTTAAATTATTGTCCACAACTTGACTTATAAGTGGTGTAGAATCGAGAAATAAAAAGCCCGGAAGTTCTTCCATCTTGTTACGCCTAACATCTTGTCTTGCCTAACTAGGTCAGTACCAGTGAGAGTTCACAATTCAAACCCATATGTTCATTTGCTTCTATGTTTGTATGCAAAAATAAAATATGATAAAATTGTATGATAAAATAGGAAATTACTTATTCTCATGCCCTCTCATCATGTTTCAGGTGTTGTTGAGCTCCAGGGATCTGTTAGCGAATACCAGTTAAAGGTCCTGGGTGGGGAAATAAATAAAACACTCACATACATCGAGACAGACACCATGATCATTGTTAATGAGCTTGAGCCAAGTACGCGATATACTCTCACATTGACATCATTTATGCATGGTGGCGCCACTATCTCCAGTACACCAGCCATTGCTACAACCTTAGATGGAGGTGAGTTTTTGGTTGATTTTATGTTTGATGTCTAAAGGATGATTGCAGCATTTTTACCTGTCAATCTAGCTGTAGAGATAATGAATTTACTCATGAAACACTTCTGATTTATCAAACCAATAGTCACCCTATCTATTTTCCTATCAGGTAGAACTTTATTTGAGGAAAATTGTTGTTTACTTGACTGGGCTTGACGCAGTTCAAGAGATCTCCACAGCATTGAAAAAAGTAGTACAGGAACCACTTCGGGGCTTGAAAAAACTTTTGCATCCAGCTGGAAATCAGTTTGCGCCTGTTTGAAAATAAGAAGCTATGAATAATTGGCATATTTTGCATTATTTTTAGCACCTGAAGGTTTGTCACCACCTCAGCTGATTGTTGTGGATGATACAACTCTCCAAGTACTCTGGAGTGCCCCAGCACGTCCCAATGGTGATGTCATAGCATACTTCATTCACCTTGACGATAAGAAGATTGACACAGGGCTCACGGTTGCTGGCTCGTTCATGTTGTATAAACTTCAGCCACATACAGTCTACTCAGTACAGGTATTGGAGTGTTCTGTCAGCGGATGTGTAAAGATATTCTCTCATACACAAAATCTAAAATTCTTCATTTACTTGAACAAAATGAAAAGTGATACTACATTTATCTATATTGTTTCAGAATACATTATTTTGTCCACGGTCATGAGCTAACATCAGAACGCTAATATAAACTTTATCACAGAACCACAAACAACTAATGATGAAATATGTAAAAAGAAATAATGATCTATTTTGAATTAAAATTCAATTCATTTTAAAAGGTTGAAGTTTGCACTGTGTATGCATGCTTGAAGAGCAACGCCACCTATGGGACAACAGCCGAAGCTATTCCACAAGAACTCAGCAAACCCCTGTTGGATGTCCTAAGCCCTTACACCATCGACATCTCTTGGACCTCACCTGTCAAACCCAATGGAATCATCACAAAGTATGATTTGTTACGTCGCCATAAAGAACCATGTGAAAACCAGTGAGTATACTTTCAAATATATTTGTTTCAACATCTAACTCATCATTTTAAATCATTGAGAAGATCTTTAAAAAATGACGGAGACTAATTCTGGAACCACAACAAGCTGCCCTGATATGTGAATCATAAACATGACTCATTAAGGAGAGTCCCCCATCACAAGATTCAATTACCATTTCTGAATAAACTGGTGACATATGGTATCCTGTTCAGATTTTAACATAGGTTCTCGGCCGATATAAAGATAGCAGCACCAACAGAATCCAGTATTATAATAATTATAAATAAACACAGATCGATGACCATGCCATCTTTATTTTAAAATTATTCCTATCGGCCTTTGCCTATGGGTTTTAATGTACATTCTCTTACATTGTTTTCCATTGTACTGTTACAGAGTCGAGGAAAGTGAACCCCAAGCCACTAAGTGTACCTATATCCAATGTGATGCAAGGGAGCGTCTGTGTGATACTACATGTTACTCAGGACCAAAGGTGTGTTTGCATTTCTAATTTTCTAGGTGGTGTAAAATCCTGAATATGAATTCTTTTTGAACAAGTGTAAATTGTAATTGCGCAAAATTAGAGAAATTAAAATGTTTAGATAAATACTACTCATTTATTTATATACTAGTAAACATTGCAGGGGGGAGATTTCCCACAGTTGACCTTTGGTATTGGCACGTTCGATAACCAATTTTATAAACAGGCCACATTTCCCATTGAAATGGATTGCATGCACGACACTGAGAGAGTATGTGCTCATGATTGTTCACATGATCACATCCTGCAATTTGATTGGACATCATATACTAGGGAATCCCAGAATGCAATAGAATATGAAAGAATTATGGGAGCTTCTCACTTCTGATATTATTGAATTGAAATATAATCCAGTACATTGATGCCATCTATTGAAAGTAACATTTCGTATCAGTAAATCACTCTGTTTAAATTCTAGACATGCTGTAATGGGGTCCTACATGATAACAAACAAGACTATGTATGCTGTGGTAGCAGCTACCTGCCCTTACCACTTAATGACACTGCTGTATGCTGTGGGGAACAATTCTACAACTATTTAGATAACCATCAATGCTGTCATGATAAGTATGTATTTATTTTTGCTATTTTTTGCTTTCTCAGATGTTTAACTCACCCATCATTATGTGTTTTTAGTTTTGAAAATGTTGATTTTTGTCTTTCAATGACATTGATTGGATTAACAACTTGTTTTAATCTTGAAGTACATGAGTGGATAGATTTACACTCAACAATGTGCCTTTTACATGTACCACATTTCAAGGGTTGTCATTGCCAGTGTATGTTGTTGAAGGTTTTGAAAAAATATGTTCTTCACACTTCTCTTTCTTTTTATAATGCAGTGTTAGATAGTGAAGGGGTTGCAGGAGTTTGATACTTAAAAAGGGAGTTGGTTACACAAAGACCCAATTCTTCAGGTTCATGTTGAAAATTAATATTGACGTGATTGACTTCATAGAATGAAATCATCTCATCGCTTAGTAAATAAAAACTAAACAAAACATGGATCATATGTTGTTTTCAAAATTTATTTAGATATGAATTTGCAATTAATTAACAGATTGATACAAAAAACTTCTTTCCAGTGTTCATTGCAAGTGTTAATATAAGTAAACTGGTATTTAGTCTAGCTACAACCCTCTGTGCCCCCCCCCCCCCTATTTGACTTCACACCTTCTCACATAGTAGTGGCGGGGGTCTCAAGGGCTTGTAACTGATATAACATATACATGTAATAACCAATAACATCTTAACTTTACAATGATATCATTTATATCAATGTCAGTCAGGGAGCATTTCAAAATCATTGAGTGCGCAAAGTTATTTTGTAAACCCCTCCTCCTTACAGTTATATTTGAGAAATTCATAATATACCAAGATTTTGCCGTTTTACATGACATATGTTATATAACATAAAATTGTCTGGCATTTCTTCAGATTTTACCAAATTCTCATAAGATTTGTACAGAACATGTTTCAAACATTATTGAATTGATATGCCAAGTTATGGATCAAAGTAATATGATCATTTGGTTGAAGTTATGGTTTTCATAGCAACAGAGTGCATGAAGACCCGGGGAAGGCAGGACTCTGTTACCTTAGTTCAAAAAAATTTAAAACTTCACATGTTTTTTCATTTCCTGTTTGGTGTAAATTTCTGATAACTACCCTAAGACCTTAACCCAAATGTAAGGATTTCCAGTTTTACTACAGTCCTGTTCAGAGACATCTATTGATATCTTGAGGAGTTATTTTTTGATTATGTTGAAACCAATGCAAGGAGGATTGGCTCCCAGGATCGAAACTCAATATTTTCCAACAATGAAAACATCGAAATGTCGTTATTTTCTGAAATTATAACCAACTATAGAGTCAAAATAAAGAGATTAAAAAGATTCGAACCAATATATAGATCATTTCTTATGAGTTTTGGAATTTTTCTTTGGGAAATAAGACCAAAATTCACGATTCAAATGTTGAGTTGAACAAAATGGCGGCTGTTTGAATTCAAATTTTGTATCACGACATGTCCATATATGCAGGCCTGTCAACTTGGGAACACCTAACATGAGTGACTTGGAAATGTTGAACACCTCCCCTGAAAATGTGGACACCTTGGTACGAAAAATTTCGAACGGAATGCGTGACATACATGTAAATCGCGTGAAAAGTTCGAACGAAATGCGTACAATTTTTTCGGCGTTCGTATTTTTACTGTGTAGACAAACTTTTTTAGAAAATTTTCTACAGAAATATTTTTGCTTGACAATTACCAGGTAAAATGCGTATTTGCGTGACATTTTCTGTCACGCAAAAATAACTGGCGTGACTTCAAATTCTTCAGCAAATGTGTGACAAATACGCAAATTGCGGGACAGTTGACAGGCCTGTATATGGGACAGAATATTGATGTTGCACTCTGGGAGCCAATCCTCCTTGAACCAATGTAAGAATTTCTAATTTTACTACAGTTCTGTTCAGAGACATCTATTCATATCTTGAGGAGTTATTTTTAGATAATGTTGAAACCAATGTAATAAACTCAAGTTTCATATTGAATTTGGATCCTAGATATAGTATCACATGAGAATTGTTCCTTATTAAGGAAAGCAAATTGAGAAACACCAAAATTTTCATTATTATTTGAACATTATTTCCAGTAAAAATTGAATATACTTATTTGTTTCTTAATTAATAAAATGCTAGCTCAAGAAATATATATTTTGATATATTAAAGTAACTGCAGTGAGCTTCCCAAAAGTTCTATTCAGCCTCACAATAGGCTGTTAATATGGGGTGTCTTGCGTGGGGGTGTGAGCTCGCAGAACATTTCCTTCTATACCCTGGAATTCGCATATATTGTCCACACCATATGCATGTGGAGATCCTTTTTGATCTTACTTTGTCCTCCACAATTATCCCGTGGATCTCATTGACTTCACTTTCTGAATTTGTTGATCCAAATGTGATACTTTGGCCATTCACTTGGCTTGGTTCAACCTTAATTCTGTCCTGCTTCTTAATGCTCACCTGAGGGGCAGTAGACCATGCCTCTTTCTTGCCGTTGATCTCTGGCACCATGTCCACAATATTAGCAGCATGACCATGTTGTCTCAGTGTCTCTAGTTGCAGTACAGTGTCATCTAGTGCTTTCTTCTCACTCTCTAGTTCAGTGATACGTGCTTTGATATTGTCCATTGCTTCACCACCAATATTGTTCACTTTTGCTTCCATTGCATCAACATGGGCATCAACTTTAGCATGCAACTCCTTTCGCTCTCTAGCCAACTTGGCCTTAGAGTCATCAATGTTTTTTTGTATGTTGCCTTTTTCTGTCAAACCAGTTTTGATTCCCTCTGCATAGTTGTTTGACCTCTGTTTTCCTAAGTCAATGACAGACCCCAAATTTTCTTTGTTGACTTTGGCAGTTTTCTCAATGTTCTCTAATCCATGGCCTTGGTGATCAAACGCGAAGCAATCTTGGCAAATTAGGTGCTGGTCATCCTTACAGAAATATTTCAGTGGCTCATTGATATGCTCTTGGCAGTATAGAGTGCGCTGTGATAGCATACTGATAGCGGCTTCAGCATCGCGGGCCCGGTCACCTGTAAGGTCGAGTATGAGGTGGGACTTTGATGAACGTGATATTTTGTGTGCATGTCCACAAGGTTGGCACAACTTCTCATTACACTCCATACATTGCGACACAGCAGGAATGGATTTCCCAACTTGATAGCAGATGTCACAGTTCCAAGTTGTCGTGTCCGCTATTGTGAGCCCTTTCATTGCATCCAAAACTGAATTTGCAAAAAAGTTCACCTTCAAGCCATCTGCCCCTTGGTTGGGTTTGGGGCAGTCATCTCGACATATTGGACAAGGGAAGTTTCTTCCGCGATGTCTATCCATTACTCCTTGGAGACATTTCTTGCAAAAGCTATGCATACATGGCAGAGATCTGGGATCATCTAAAGTCTCCATACAAATAGAACAGTTCACTGAATCCATCAATGGCTCGATTTCCATTTTAGACATCGCCATTTTCCTGCATTCACATCTACAATCGCTACTTGTTATTATTACTGTTTACTTTGCAAAGGCTGGGTTGCAATGAATATACATGTACTGTAAATTGTGTGATATCAGGAATCTCTAAAAATCAACCAATCAGATGTAGCTCAGTCTAAAGCATGCATCCATATATGGACACTTAAACACAACTCTTTTTATGATATCATAAATTAGCTTGATGCATGTACTTAAGTACAGGTCTTGATGTTTTTTCTCATAAGTCTCTTTAATGTACATGATTTTATGAAACTGCATTTATTCAAGAGACTAATCTAATCTGAAATTGTGCAGTCTGGGGTCAAAATCATTTTTAATTTTAACCTTCTGGTATTGTAGGTGTGTAGTGTGTGGACTATAGAGTTAACAATATATTAATGGATTGTTCAATTATGCTTTGCACCATAGCCCATGTTTGCACCAACTAAAAGCTGCTTGGGGATCTAGAAATTAAAAGGCCTCAATATGAGAGTCCCACATATTGACCTTCTGGATGACCATGATATTTATCAAACATTACTTTAAAGTACTAAAAACTCTGTAGACCTTCATCACAAAAATATCATTAAAATATGTATCGGGTGGTCCAAAAAAATGCGACACTCGTATTTCAAAGATAAATATTGATTTTCTTGATGAAAACATAACATTTGGTTCATATGTCCACCATTTTGATCAATTGTAGCCCTCAGTTTTGACCTAAACTGGCCAATATGCTGTTGAGACAAATTAATTTCACTTCTCAATAATTCAATTCTGTCTTTAAGAGACTGAATAGATGTAAAGAGTTCATAGTACACCAATTTTGTTAGTTCTTCCCATATATGGTAGTCGCAGACATTAGGTGATCTGGTGATTTGGGAGAGGCAGTGATTAGGCGGTATGAATCTAGGCACATTTTCATTTAAACATCTTGTGAGATATATTGCTTGGTGTCCCATCTTGTTAGAAAATGCAATGATTCGAGAATGAGCTCATACAAGGATGGTCTAAAAACAACATACGAGGGGTGATTCAAAAGTAATGGACAACATTTTATAGGCATACTAAATTTCACCCAATCAGTCTAATTTTTTTACAGTGAATAGATCAATCAATTCTCTACTTTGTGTCGAATTCTCATTTAAATGCATTTGAAATTGTTTCAGCTATGCGTTACCATGGTAACAAGGGTAAGCATGGGTGGAATTGGTTTTTTAATGATAATTGAATGTTTTTGTCATTTTTGCTTGATTTCGTTTTAATGACTCAATTACCACACATGATATGTCTAACAAGCATGGTAATGCAATTGTCAAGCAAGACTCACATGCCCATGTGTTTGCTGTTGAGTTCTTAATTCAGCAACCAATTGTGCTATGACATCACAATGATATTTCTAAGAATGATGAGTCACAGTGAGTTAGAAAGTAGATCAGACTCTTAGACTCACACACATCCAAGAAATGTCTACTTTACAACAAATCAAAGTTAAGCAAAGGATTGTTATTGAATATTTGGTA